TAAAACGAGCCATATTCCGTGTAGTTTGATTGGTTGTATGCTTCTAGAAGAATTGACCACGTACAAAGCTCAGAATGGCCCATTTCGTATACGCTAGTCGCAGCACTATTATTTCCGTGAACGCACTAAACGCAGTATAGTCGATCTGGCTCCCATCTCTTTACAGTTTACACCAAACGCTGATCGTGAAATTCACGCAATTTACGCGTGGTCGCAGTCATTACGAGTTACGAGCGATCGCGAGTCTCTGAGATTTTGTGTAAAAACACTAAAAACTAAAAACGCACGTACTGCAATGAATGATGATGAATCTAATTCGTCTACGTCAAACGGAAAAGATTTCGATATTTCCGATTCGGGTGATTTGCCGCAATCCACAGTCGATCGCGAAAGCATGCTATGTACGTGGTCTCACCTTCGCCGCGATCTTTTTGAGTTCGACATCCAAGATAAAAAACCGGAAAATTACCGGACAGCTCATTTCAGTGCTTGTTATGTATACCCAAGAAAAAATACATATCGGCATCAGTGTCTCCAAACTCGAATTTGAGAACGCACATCAAAGTAAATTATTAATTATAATAATATGTAACATATGTTTTTTCACTTTTTTCTTTCTTCAAATAAAGTGTATAATAAATAAAGTGACGTTTGTCATTTCCGTTATTTGTAAGACTGTGAAACCCAGAAATTACGAAATTAAAAAATTTAACTTTTAACTTTTTAATTACTTTTTATTATTAACTTAACTTTTAATTTAATTAATTTTATTATGGATTAACTTGTATCTTAACTAAGTTAAATTTTGAAGGCTGTTAACTTTAACTTAACTTAGTTAAAAAAAAATTAACTTACCCAACCCTGTTCAAAATAGATCGAAATAAAAATATATCAAGAATAAGGTATGAGAGGGATTCCATTGACGTGTCATCCCTACTTATCTTGTAGCACAATGGCCGCGGCCGTGTTGGCTAGCATACGCTGCCAATCGCATTAAATGCACAGGTAAACGAACGGACAAGTGAAAATGCGGGGAGGTCAACGTGACAGCTATACAACGTGTCCTAGAATCTCCGATCTCGAGGAAAACTCGACATCGTTTAGAAAGAACCAACTCAATGCTAAGCTGCAGCTTTGATTTAAATGCTACTTTATGGTTAGCCCGATTTTATTCTCGAGAAATGCTATATGGTTATTTCATTAGTTGGATGGAATCCTAAGACTGCCTAAGATCGAGTTTACAAACTATTTACAACGATCTTAAATACGAAATCCGACTGTGAATATCGTTCTACGAATATCATTATAATTTTATTATTTCTTCTAGAAAACAAGATGAAGAACATATAACATAATACTAATATATGGGAGGGAATACACTTCTTTCGATTTTTTTTTTCAGAAAATATATAAATTACTATCTCGTTATTACAATTCGGTCTTTTCTGTTAAAAGTGTGGTAACTAGATTGATTTAATTTTGTCACACATTTTGCAGTTTGTCATCGTTAAGATTTTTCCACAATAATTGTTCCAATAAGTTTCGATATTTTTTTTTACATCATTTACAGAGAGAGTAGGATTTATGTAATTCGTGTTTAGATTACTCAGCAAGTAGAACTCTAATCTAATATGTGCGAACATAGCAGACGCAAGGCGCGAAATTGCGCGTTTAATTACAAGTCAAGATGCAATCAGCGGTTTATTATCTCCCCCCCCCTTCTGTGTTTCTTCACATTATTAGAATATAATAATCCAGTAGAGGCCGAACACCCGGTATAAGACGAGAGATCTTCAAATACGCACCACGCCCTCGTGTCGCCTTATCTTCCGTCCGGCTGCTAAGGTTGAAGCCGGCTACCTGCCGCCTGCCTGCGGCAGGTACCTAGATCTACCTGAATCGCGCATTCCACAGGAAATGTCCTCAAGATTGGCCGGGGGCCGAAGTTGGCGATAGGTTTTTGCCCGCAAAGGGAGTTGACGAAAGATTTTCTTTCTTGCTCTTGTGAATGACGTTGCTCCTTGGCAAATCGAGCGTGCCCGGTCGTCTCGCCGCGACTTTCATCGCTCCTTCGCATTTCACGCGCTCTCGCGTGTATGCGTTGTTCGCTCGCGAGCGGAATGCCGCAATAGATTAATGCTGCTAGATAGTCACCGATTTTCGAATTACGTCGCGCGTTACGTTACGTCGGCATTTTTACGTCTCTTGCATCAGCGTACAGCGGAATTGACGGTGATTGGACGACACGACGCGACGTCGGCATAATATCTAGATTTATTAACGTTAAAATCGTGCGCCCACGCGACGTCGTCGGTCGATCCCCGTCAACGTTGACGCTTTACGCAAACGATTATTCTAAAGCGATCGGTATAACGATTCTGGGATCCGGTTTTCCTTCTGCGGCACGACGCGCGGCAGAATTTTTCTGGATGCTTGAATCATGCGCTGGTCGTGTATACGTATCCACGAACGTTTTACATTCCTAAACATTTGCTCGGCGCGACTGCAAGGTTGCTTGCCTGCACGCTTACGTTACGTGTACTTCATATATTTAATCCCATAATTCAAGGTCTACACTCGCAAGTTACCACTTTAAAGATCTTCATTGTCCAGATAACTGAGTTATCTTTTGTGTTGCGATTTTATACAGAATAATCCACTTAACGTTATCATCGCGATCATTTTTCGATACGACTTCGGAGAAGAGAGTTTCTTTGTCAAATTTTGCGCGCGTTATATGTATAAAAATTCTTAGTTTCGTGTAATCTTCTTTTGTGCGCTTCTGCTTTCGGTGGAAATGCATTGTGAGATGATGGATATTTCATGAGAAAAATCTGCTGTTTCATCGGAAATTCTTTCGGAACGGCTTGAATCGCGGCGCAAAAAAGACGCACAAACAAGAGTGGTAACGTCTTCGCATTCCTCGTTTCACGCGGCGCGATTCATATTCTCGTCGACACGGTCGAAAAGTAGTACGGGCAGCCCCCTCGTCGGATTTTCCCTTTCAAATCCGTTATCCGTGTTCGTCCGGATTCAGCGCGATGGTTAATCAGATTCATACGTAATGAGGCACGCAGTGTGGGAAGCGAGCGCGATTTTTCTCATCGGTATATAAAGCGCGCGAGGGTAATCTACACCGATCGCGACGGAACGATACCCGCCGCGATTTGTTTCACCGCGTGATCTCGCTCTGAGAGCGTTGTTGTACGAGTTTACGAAAGTTTATGAATCATCGGGCAGCAGCCGTCGTTTCCGATCGCGCCGAATGGGAGCTGCATTAGAACGACTTTCTTTCTGGCAAACGCGCGCCGGAAACCCGCGGCTTTCCGCTTCGGCGGAGAGAACGAGAGTGAATTCAAGATATAACATTTAATAGCGAAGTATATTGCAAGTTTACGCATATACGCATACACATTCACACGCTCGCATACGTGCACACATATGCAAATGTGCTCCACAAATCTGACCTGTAGAAGGATAGAAGAAAATGTTACGAGCGGCGTATTACGAAGAATTTATCGGCGCGAGTCTTTAAAAATTCTGATGTTTCGAGATTACGACAGTTTTATCAGACCTTGAACAGTAGTTTCTTGCGTGGATGATATATCGTAGGAAAGTAAATAGCGACACACAGTCCCGATCTCTCACGCGGTATGGAAATAACGTTATTAATCTTGTAAATCTATCGGTCCCAGTGTGCTTAGCATCTTGCACTTGCCGGTCTTTGAACCGGCCATATGGCGTCAGAACACACATTTCTTCCATCATACGTTTTTCTGACCGTTCAAGGTCAACTTTCATTCCGTTTATGGAATCATAAGGTCCGCTCTTTTCAGCTGCACCTCTTTAGGCTTTCTATATTTAATGAAGCGGCTAAGTATTCAGATACCGCTAGCCAAAGAGGAGAAACAAGAGGAAAAAGAAAAGAGATAGCAGTAAGATATAGAAAGTCCAAAGTAATTTCTTGCGAATTACTGCTCCAGTTTAATGCAAAAATATTCATTAGAGAATTCCTTGAAAAAATAATTCGATGATCTAATACGAAATAACGTTCGAAAGTGAAGTACCAGTAATGAGATCTCTATATCGTTAATGAATTCGAAATGCATTTTTATTATAACGAGATTTTAATTGGCGATTCTTTGAAGTAAGATTTTCTCGAACATATCAATAGCGTTCTAATTCCTCGAGGGCTAAATATTTTTATACGTTTGATCCATCGGTCTGCTATCGGGCAAAAGATTCAGATGGAACGGGTCTGTGTCGTCTGTGGGTCTTTTCAGCTGCATTTCCCATTCCACCTCCGCGCCGTTCTCCCTTCCGTCAAATCCCGAATGTATATACGTGTCCGTTTTAATTGAAACGCGGAAAGCGCAATTAAATACGGCCGAAACGTGACGGCGCGCGGCGGGTTTCATGTCTCGTATCGCGGCTCGTCTGGAACTCGGCGGCGATTTTGCCCGGATGATCCCGCCCGGTTTCGCGATGGCTCGAGGACAAAGAATAGAGAAACGGAAAGCGGATACCTAGGCCGCGACAAGCAGAATTCCAGCTGGTGTAAGGTGTGTCATATTCCAGTTAATGTCTCATAGCCGGGGCCCCGCGTGCGTACACGCTCGTACACACGCGCCCACACGCTCACCCACGGGCGCACAACGCTCGTATCCACACAATACCCACAAACACACGCGTACGCGCATACCCACACACACACACACACACACACACACACACACACACACACAAAAGGGTAAGATGTTGAAGCCGACCTCTACCTGTAGTCTTGCCAACTAAGCGAACCGACCAGGCAAAACCGGTGTCGGCACGCTCTCGAACCCAATCCTCCTCTCTTCGCCCTTCTCTCCTCTCTCTTTCCACCCTCCTCTTCCATCTCCCCCTTTTTCCCACTCTCTTTCTCTCTCCATCTCTCGCACCACTCTTGTGTGTTAAACACCGCCGTCTCTCCTCCGTCACCGCTCCGTCCTTCTGCGTCCCTGCAGTCCTCGGCCGATTCTACCTCGGCCAGTCGACCTGGCGATAGAGAAACCGAACGCGTTCGTCGCCAGGACTCTCTTTCTCTTTCTTTTCCTTTTTCGCACCTGGCAAAAGGACCCCCGTGTCCATCGGTTCTAGTTCCCGAAAATCCGATCTCTCAGTCGAGATCTCAGACAGTAGCGAGAGGTAAAGGACGATCTTGGGAGGGTTCGCAGAGGCGGCTACCGCCGCGTTGGATCGTCGTGTACGCACGCGAAGGCCGTGTGCACGCGCGTGCGGCACACGAGAACGTGCATCTGCATCCGTGGAACGTGATGCAGTGGTGAAGCGTGTATACGTGCGTGCGTGCAATTGCGCGGTGTGGACAGTGTGCCAGATATGTATATATCGGTATCGCGGACGTGAAATCAATGAAGGATCACCGGAGCACGTTACTCGTCGTGATCGATTCAGCATGCATTTTCGTCACGGTCGGCCTGTCGCGTACTTGATTCACAGGAGGAGAACGGTACGCGATCCGCGCTCTAAACGCGAAACGCTGGATGAGGTGCGAAACCGATTTGCGATCTCGAGAGAGCTAGAATCGTGGGTCTCGAGAGGAGCCGAGAGTGTCTTGCAACTCCGGATTCGAGTTTCGCATCTTCGTGTGATTTTCGACGAATTCGGACGGCGAATTTGAGTCGCGCCTTTCCAAGGCTGGCGACATATCGGGCGCGTCTCGACGGTGATGCGATCGCGTCGATCGCGACGGGATAAAAGGTGGATCGCGATCGAGCAGATCGGCGAGCCTAGGCGAGGACGAGCCGAGAGATCGTCGCGGTTCGGCATCGGCGATTTAAATCGCGGTCCGGTTTAGGCGGTTTCGTTTCGGGCAACCGTGGGGCGCGGGTATAGCCGTTCGGCCGGGAACCTGTTTTTGTGTCGACGGCCTTCAGCGAGTTTTTGGAAATGCGCTTCCGGTCGGCAGTGGCGACGGCGGCGGTGACGGCGGCGGCGCGGGGCGCGGTGTATTTCTGTGCCGCGTGAGGGAGAAGCGAAAGAGAGAAGTTCCTCGAGACGAGGGATTCCTCGGGAAAGGGCCGTCGTCGTCATAATTATATATACGCCGTTCGAAGCCGCTCTCGTTACCGAAATCGAATTTCCTTGCGTTATTTTGACGTATCAACAATCAGGATGGATGTTCGTCGATACGATTTTATTTAGTTATTTACATCGAAACGTCGATTTTTCTCTCTGTCTCTCTCTTTTACACGAAATTATTTCTGCCGTTTCGTAATATCGGCAAGAATTCGCAGCACAAAGAAGAAGAATTCCATAATTATACGAAATTCGCAGAACTATTTTCGGCACGACGCCGACGCACCGTGTGTCTCTCCATAATTACGCCAAGTAGAGGAGTACATTCTTCAGCCAAACAATCGTTTTCGATCGATAAGATTCTTCTTCGAAAAAGAAATCTCCGTGAATAAAGAAAGGAACGTTATTCCGAATCGTGGGAATAGAGGCGAAATAATTGACTTGAGGAGCGTCTTGCGATTGGAATGTGCATTCAATGCGGTTGATGGTTTCCTTCCTTCGATTGAGGACAAGAATGATCAATGAAATAAAGGACGGAAAGCATTCTGAATCTTAAAGAGCTAGAAAAAGCAACAAGTCACTGTCAAAATGTCACGTGAAGTAAATTTTTATTAAAATTATATAGAAAGAAACGTGAGGAAAATACGTAGCTCAGAATATTCCTGTATAATCAAAATATTCGGAAAATACTTTGATTTGTCCAAACGTTCTTTGTTGCTTATGGGATTCCACAATTTTCTTTTTCTTTATTTCAGAGTCACTCTTTAAGCGGGAAAATTGTTAATAGAGAACACATAATTTTTCCGAGATAAATTTACACGCCGCGTGTATTTGTACGTTTCGTCGATTAAGACCGAAGCGAATCTGTGAGAGAAAATCGCAATTCCAGTTCGCGGAAGGGCTAGAAATATCAGTGGGAGCGGCAGGAAATTTAGCTTCGAATTTAGCTCCGAATTCGCTGGAAGTAAATCTCACTTGGGGCAGCAACGGAGTCTCCGGGATTCGATTCTCTCGAGATCGGGGCGTACGTACGAGGGGCCGCGTGGTCTCTCCCGAACGAAATCGAGCGCTTCACGCTACGTCGCGTCCGAAGCCCGGCGTGCGAGGGAAGAAAAAGAGGCGTGCACGAACGAGAAACGAACGAGGCTACTGCTGCTGCCGTGTCGTGAAGCCGTGGCTGCGTGACCGAGCAAGGCGAACGGGAGCGAGTGTCGAGTCTCGCGCGCGGAGAACGGCGCGAACGAGGAAGGGAAAATCGCGACGAGCGACGAGAGAAAAACGGGTCAGTCGCGAATCTCGGACCACGAGGTTCTCCGCCGTCCGCGAGATTCGTCCCGATCGTGATTCGCGAGCGAGGGCCTCTCCGATCCGTAATTCGCCAAATGCGTGTCTTCTCGACGGGAGACGCGAGTGCAAGTGCGCGACTTCGCGTCGAGGATAAGCCGCGCGTTTCTTCGATTTCTTCGATCGGAATCGAGGTGATCTCAAATGAAGCCTGAGAAAGAGAGAGGCGTGCATGGCATTCGGAGAAATCGCCCAAGTATTTGCATATCCATAAGTTGCGGAGTCAGTTCTAAAAATTAACGTCTGCTGGAATACCTCGGCTCGAAGCGATACGCATTAAGGGCGTTTTCTCTCGCGAGCCAAGACTTGGTCTATTTAGTCCACGTATTTTAAAACGCCTTTGCTGGTTTGCTTTGCGAGTTTTGCGGATTGTGTATAATAAAGCGGGATTCTTCTCCTCTACGCGCTACACACTTGACACTCGTGCGTCATCGTGGGGTCTTGTCAATATTGCGAAACGGTGCAAATAATCGCGTTGAGAAGAAGAGGCGGAGGGAAAGTCGATGTTTCTTAAGAGACGAAGCTCGAACAATAACGAAATCTAGAAGACGGCGAACATCTATTTTGATTGTTGGTCATTAGTGATTGCACAACGTCGAACGCAGCGCGCAAATTGATCTCTACAGATTCCGGAGCAACGATCCTTCGAGATTACTTTCTACAAAGATATATAGAGAGACGTCAAGAGGCATCGCTATTCACATCGAATATTCGAGCGTCAAACGTGGTCTCTCCTTTCCAACGGAAAACCATCGATGACGAAAGGACCGTAACGTTGATGATCGCCGCACAATTACATTTTTCTGTTTAACGTGCAGAAAAACGCGCAGCGGCCGCCTTTGCGCAAGAGTCGTGCCAGCCGCAGTCGATCGGCGATCGCGTCGTGCGCAACGATGCGATCGCGACGGAGTTGTCCGCGACGCGAATACCATTCCACATCGATCCCACGTGGTTCCACGTGAAAGCGCGAAACGTCCGAGGGAGGAGATGCTTGAGGGATCGCGAATGATCGGCGGAAGTGCGCGAGGGAGCGGCCCGTGAGAGAATCGTCCTGGTGGTTCGCGAGGAGGATAGGGAACGTCTTTTACGCAAGAGGATGGACAGGGGCGATAACAACGTCGTCGGGGTCGTCGGCGGCGGAAGTGGCGGAAGTGGCAGCGGAGGAGGAGGCGGCGGCGGCGGCGGTGGTGGCGGCGGCAGCGTGGGCTGTCACGTGGGAAATTCCGGATCCCCGCCGAATTCGACCTCGTCGACCCACGGCACGATGCAGAACTCCTCCGGCGGGTTCGACGGCCAGGTAGCGCATCCCCCGAGATCTTTAAACCCGATACGGAAGGGCTGTGTAAACACTTGCGCGGTCGTCCTCGAATTATTCTTGGCGAAATCGAATGAGATTCTGCCCCGCGATCCCCGAAGTCGCTCGATTTTATCGCGATGTCCATCTCGTCGCGCGACATGTGTGCCGAGAGCAAATTAACGTTTGGGCTCGAAATTTTGGAGCGATCGGGCGTCGCGGATCGATCTTCTCTGAGGATTCGATTTGCATCGGTAACCATTTGTATCTTTACATGCAAATTTATGAACGAGGGAGAATCGAGGTATGCCTGAAAGTCGTGAGTGATCGACGCAGTGCATCGCGATTTGATTTTATTGGTGTCACGATATTGCGATGCATAACGGGAATGTTTATTAAGATCTGTTCTCTCTCTCTCTCTTTTTCTTTCTCTCTTTTTCCCATTATTACTTCCATTCAAGCCTATCCTGCACGAGATACCGTGTCTGATCGAATACGGGATTAGAAATATCTTCGCTATATACGTGTCGCGATAAGTCCACGAGGGCGATAACTCTGCCATTTGATACGTAGTATTGGATTATCCCGTCGATCGCTTTCCCGCGCAGGAGAAGATCTCCCTGTAACACGTGCTTCGTCGAGTGATTCATATGTCTGTCCCAGGGCTAAATTTATCGCGGCGAATTGCGGGACTCGGGCCGTAGTTTTAACGGCGCGAAACGCGCCGGTCACGCACGACTCATTGTTACCGCCTCGCCGAAATAATTAATCTAATTATCGTGCCTCGCAGCTCGATGCCCGATGATGGTTATCGTTTAATTTAGCCGGCCGCGTAATTTCGACGAAAACACGCCGCGGAGCTAGGAATATACACGCGGGCCCCCGCGGTATGCGTATAATTGCACCATTGTATTCGCTTCCACGTGCGTGGAAAATGAATTATGGCCTTCAATTAGGCGATCCTGTCGTCTTCTAACCGCTGGTTAAACGTTATCTCATTGTGTGCACAGAAAGAAAATGTTAATTTATTTAATATATTATAATTATGGAATACCGTTAAATTTTGTAACTTTTATCTTTATTTCGACGCAATTAAGAGAGGCTCGGTGAATGTAATTTTGTAAAATTTAGCGATTTTTCAGACTTTTCGTTAATATTCTTGCTTGTGGCGCAGAAATAAAAAGATTTTACGCTATGATATATCTTCACGTACAGTTATCGGGACACGATGATTTAAGGTGCCGCGTGACACGACAGTGTCTTGGTATTTGCACGATATTATCTTATTTAAATATGCGATTCATAACTGTGCTTATCTCTATTTGGCATTGTTAAAAGATGATGTAAGACCGTGAAAGCATGCCTTTCGGCATAATATTGTTGTGATCATTTAATGATAGTATGTCAACTGACCATAGCGATCATATCACTAGACGTATCTGCAAAGAAGATGTTTATATGACAGCGTTAGCGAGGAACACGTTGTCGGTAGTGTAATATATGTATAATACTGACCGCTTCAAGTTTATATCTCCCCAGTTTTATCGCGCATACGTAAATAAAACATCAGTAAAATACAAAGAGTATATAAGAATTAGTCAGAGAAATATTCGATCAGTTTTGAATGAATTAAAGCAATTAGATACTAGTCGCTTATTTGAAATTATTATAAAAGAATATATATATATATAATGATAGCTTTTAACACGTTTAATATTCTACATCTACATAATAAAATAAAAGTAAGACATTGTTTAGGGGAGATTGGGGGGGGGGGAGATAGGAAAGATAGGGAAGATTATATTCTAAGATCACCAAACAACTTTTTTTATTATTGGCAATTTTTTAATATTATGTTTTTTTTTTTTAATTTTAGACTGGTGACAGAGGATGGGAAATTCACCACGTTAAGGTGACCAGAGTTCCCGGTTATGGCTTTGGGATAGCTGTGTCAGGAGGTCGCGATAATCCTCATTTCAATAATGGCGATACAGCAATCGCGATCTCCGATGTGCTCAAACCCGGTCCAGCTGAAGGAAAATTACAGTAAGTTCACTGATAATTTACCACAGTAAATGGCAGTCAATTCTTATTAATACATTTTAAATTTTTGTATGTATGGAAATGTTTCTCTTTTAGTCCATAAAGTTTATTATATAGTCTCTTATTTTTAATATCTTATAACATCCATATTTATTGATATTTACTTATTGCCACATTAATAATTAATTTATATAAAAACTTTTTAATTGTAATTGCCTATAAAATGAAAATAGATTTACTGCAAAGTGGCTCAAGAATACATCCTTAGTCTTTGGGCCACTTTTTAAGTAAAATTTCATATTCGCCGGTTTTAATTTTAATTTGGTATAATCCCCACGCTTAACAAGATCATTATTTGAGGGTGTATATATCGTTTATAGAGTGAACGACCGTATCATCTCCGCCAATGGAATATCGTTAGAAGGCGCCGATTACGGGGCAGCCGTGCGGATTCTGCGGGAATCCGGTTCTACCGTTTTATTGGTTGTTAAACGAAGAGCTTCCTCGAATTCACCCGGTTGTTTAGGGAGCGGAGTACCCCAGAGTCATCGGCTCACACTCACGCGAAATAATAAAAAGGATGGTACGTAATTAGACGGTGTGTAACAATCGCGCGATGACTCCAGGATCTCAGAACAATATTGTATACGTCTGGCAATCGAATCTTTGTCAACTTTCCAATCAAAGCAATTAATATAATCTAATTTTATTTAATTTTCCGAGCTAATGTTCGACCCAATTTCTCACTTAATTTTCAAGCTTTTCATTGAGCTCTTTATTGTAATCTTTATCTTCGTTTGTCTTCGCAATGTGTGTGAGGCAAGACGTAGTAATTTGCCGTCTCGATTTCTAGACTTCGGCATAGTACTGGGATGCCGATTATACGTAAAGGAGGTTACGCGAGAGAATATCGGAGTGAAAACCGGGGACGTGTTAACCCGAATAGGCAGCGTCGCCGCCGACAATATGAGTCTGAAGGAAGCTAGAAAGCTGATGGACCAGTGCAAAGACAGACTCTCGATCGTAATTACGCGGGATAGCTCGTGTTGCCATGTACAGCAGCAAGGTAAAGGGGATAGCGGTGAATACCTGTCGGGCGCGAGTTACAGTAGTCAGAACTTATACGTTCCGCCACCCACGAGGCAGCCCTTGGAGGACAAGAGTAACCTCGTGCCGAGAGGTCGCTCGCGGGGTCCGCTGATGGACGTGTCTCTGAGCCAGCTAGATCTGCCAGCTACGCCTACCGTAGATCCACCCAGACCACCTCCGCCGAGACCGGAAGGTATATGCGTTGTGATACAAACATATCTCAATCATTTCCTATTCGAATATGGTTCTAAATAAAGTTTTAATAAATACAGATTTATATTATTATTTTTTTATCAATCTCAAATTTATTTATTTTTTAGCGAAAATTTTTAGACATCTGATGTCAATATTTTTTTAAACTATTTTAATAATGAAATACATATCTTGAATTGTGATTTTCTCTGAGATATATATAGTCTGCTTGAAATTGCATAAATAAAATGCTTCCGAAATTGACGTCATATTAATATAATGAGGATTATAATTTTTTTAAATTTTATTTTATCAAGTGTATTCGGCGAAGTTTTACTAACATGCTATTTTTCTTCTTATAGATTATTATAGTACACGTAGACAATTGTACGATGAAGACTCGGTTTCGCCTCGGACGAAACAACTCATGTAAGTAGATAAAGTTTTATTCAGTCTCTTGTACGGCCAATCAACACAAACGTTCATTTTGTTATTACGTACATATAGGCCAGATCCTCGATTTATCACATTCCAAAAGGAAGGATCCGTCGGCGTGCGATTAAGCGGCGGCAATGAAACCGGAGTCTTTGTCACTGCAGTTCAAGCGGGAAGTCCTGCGTCGCTTCAGGGTCTTCAGCCGGGGGATAAAATTCTAAAGGTCAGTTACATAATATATACATATCACCACTTATTTTACATTTAAACAAAATAGATCCATATTTTCAAGATCCTAAAGATCTCTAAAGATGACGAAATGAATAAAAAGAAAGTCAATACTAACAACTACCAACAATAGATCTAACAATATTCTTTTATCTCGAAAGAATTTTTTGTTGGGATAGTAATTCTAATCTTAAATTTTATTGAAACAAAGTGTAGAGAATATACATTTGGATAACATTTTGCTCTAAAGACTCTACAAAGACCTTTTAAAGATCTTTAAAAAAGATTAAGATTTTCGAATAAATTCTATATGTGAGTAATAAAAATTTGCAAAAGAAAAATTTTTGCGTCAGATAAATGATATGGATATGAAGGAGGTAACGAGGGAAGAAGCCGTACTGTTTCTTCTTAGCTTGCAAGAACAAATCGATCTTATCGTGCAACATCGACGTCAGGAATACGACCAAATCGTTGCGTCCGGAAGAGGCGACTCTTTTCACATAAAGTAAGTGACATATAAGTGTATAACAAGTTCGATAATCTTGTTATGTTAATAAAGATGAAAATTATCTCAAGATAAATGTATACAAAGTGAATATTAAATTATTCTGGAATAGGATCACCGACTTTTGTGGGAAATAATTATCAATTTATTCTTTTATGATTTTTTTTATATAATGTAAAAAACGAGGTTTAAAATGCACAAGTAAATAAAACAAAGACGTATTATTGATCGTCAATAATTAAATTATGTAATTTTATTTTTATATTTATCATTCTATTTTATATTCTTAACTATATAATGAATATGATGATAACAATATAAAAATAGAAAAAATTTTTAATTGCAATCAAAACAATATTATTAATATAATTCCAGTTCGAGTTCTAAATTTAATTTTATTAGTCGATCGAAGATGATTACAGCTGATGGTATATTTTTGTGAAATCCGTAGAACTCACTTTCACTATGAGCAACCGCAAAAAGGAGAGATGAGTTTTCGCAGCGGCGACGTTTTTCACGTGGTAGACACCCTTCACAATGGCGTCGTAGGATCTTGGCAGGTTTTCCGAATTGGGCGAAACAATCAAGAAGTACAGAAAGGAATCATACCTAATAAGGCTCGAGCTGAGGAGCTAGCAACCGCTCAATTCAACGCGACGAAGAAAGAGATGAGCGCCAGCGAGAGCAGAGGTAGCTTCTTCAGGAGAAGAAGAAACAGTCACAGACGCTCGAAATCGTTAGGGAGGGTACGAATGCAACAAATTCTTTTTCTATTTATATGTATACATTTTATAGTCTAATATATGTTTCTTGTATTATATATTTTGTTTGTTAGTTCGTTTTTTGATGTCATAAGCATTAGACCGAAAAGATTAAATTGCCTTGTACGTATATTAATATTTGATTTAGATTAATTTTCATGCTCCTATATTTTTTAGGATCATTGGGACGATGTAGTGTTTTCCGATAGCGTCAGCAAATTTCCCGCTTACGAACGCGTGATTTTAAGACATCCCGGATTTGTCAGACCCGTCGTTCTTTTTGGGCCCGTGGCCGATCTTGCCAGGGAAAAACTTCTAAAGGATTTCCCTGATAAGTTTACTTCTCCACGTAAGTAAAGGATATATTCTGTATTAGTTTTTTTATTGAACAAATTTTCACGTGAATATGATACTTTCGAAGTAGTTTGCTGAAGATCGAATATTTTGTAGAAATGGAAAGTCAAATGGAGGATGGTAGTGGAAAGAATACCAAAACATCCGGCATTATTCGCCTAAGTGCCATCAGAGAAGTGATGGACCGGGGCAAGCATGCGTTGCTCGACATTACTCCGAATGCTGTGGATCGCTTAAATTACGCCCAATTTTATCCGATTGTCATTTTCCTGAAGGCCGAGACGAAGCAAATCATCAAAGAGATGAGAGCCGGCATACCAAAGTAAGAAAGACAGCGAGATGAGATCTCTGTTTCGTCATTCGTCAAATTCTATATGCCACGTATGATTACAGATCAGCTCACAAAAGCAGTAAAAAGCTTTTGGAGCAGTGTCAAAAACTCGACAAGATCTGGGGACACGTATTTAGCGCGGTAATCACTCTCAATGCACCGGAAGCTTGGTACCGGAAACTGAGAGAACTTATCGATCGCCAGCAGCAAGGTTCACTATGGATGAGTCAAACTAAGGTAAAGCAACTCGATTCAAGGTACAAATTGTGTTGCAGAATGCGTGTGATGTTTTCGTTTTACTTCAAGTAAAATGTCAGAACAAAGAACTGCCAGAGAGAGATACAGCTATATGTTGGGGTGGTTTTTGACTTCTCTTTTTCTCTTCTCGTTCTCTGTTTTCACTTTTCTCATGGATATCGGATATCACGATCTTTCTTCGTTGCTCATATAGATACTCCACGGCGATCTTTGTCATAATTTGGGTCTGTTTATTATAGCCAATATATAGCCGATACACGGTGTGGGACCTATCGCATCCGTCTATACACGCTCATACTCCACTTCCTGCTCTCCCACCTCCTCCGCTTCCTAATGATAACGTGTATTATGACGAGAATAAGAATCACGATGTGTCTCTGTTGCATCATCAGTCATCAATATTATCTTTTATGGAAAAATTCCCGCCACTTCCGCAGCCACCTTCGAACTCGGGCGTCATCCGTGAGCAATTTTTCGGCTATATATAAATCCTGCTTGCTTTAACCCTTTAACTGTGACATTCAGAATATTTTGTTAATATATATGTGGAATATTGTAATATCTTAGCACTCAACGCGCTTTTTGTCTTCAAGGTAAATCAGTGTCGCAATATTTTATATAGATATGCGATATATGTCAATTAATCACTAAAGAAGCAATTAAATTAATTAGATTATGCAAACACATGTCGATGGCAGTAACAATTAAGTCAATAGGTGAGTATATTCGTTTGGAACAGTTAAAGGGTTAATCCTGCATGCTTTTTGTATGCATTTCTCCATTCTGCATGACTGTATCTATTATAATGATCTATTTTCTTTTTTTTTAATTATCAACTTATTGAAACTCTCAATATTAGTCGTTGAGAGAAGTCGCTCGAGAAAATAAAGTATTTTCGCAGTTTTAATTATAAAGCAGTTGAAAAAGCAAAAATTTAATAATTTAATTTAAAGATGAGCCCAAAGTTATTTTGTTAATTAATTTTCTATTTAACAACATAACTTTAAAAAGTTATTTATAAAATTGCCATTATTTTTCCTTTTTTCTCTTCATCGTGATTAACATTTATAAATACTTTATTTTTTTATGCAAGTTTGTTGAAAAAGATACAATCTTTTCTACATATGTTTTGCATGCCTGAGAATGCGCGCTTTATCATGCTATTATTTTTCTACTTTACTACTGTTTTACGTTCCAACTGTTGCTTCTAAGAAAGCATACTACAAATTTAATTTCAATGCGATACTCATACAAAATACTCATACAAATATAATAATTCATTCACTGTACTTTATTGACCGTAATATATCTGAACAACTTCAGTGTGTCATCTGATTATTAATACACGTACCGTTTGCCTAACGTGATGTCCTGTGGTCTGCGATCGTAGCCGGAAGAAGCCCTCTCGGATGACTTCCTATTCCCGATGACTTCTCGCCTCTCCTACGCTTCCTCTCCGGAGAGCGATCTGGAGCTGAGCCCAGCGCCCGTTATCCCCGGCACTTTGGGCCCACCGTCGCGGCTAAAAAGTAGTTCCGATCCGAGCATTGCTACTCAAGATGATACCACTGCGCCGCCACCGTACTCGACAAATTATCAGGTAATCTGTAAGATTCTCGGTAAATTTCTAAACGAGATCCAAGCTACAAGCTTTTCGGAAAATTAAAATTTAGCGAGTCAATGTATAATTAATTTTGTACGAGTAAACGATTTTGATCGTCCACAATTAATGAATATGTTCGTTCCTAGCAATCATTCGAGCAGCAGAAGAGAAGGTCCCAAGGCGGAATGGGGGACAGCAAGTACGGCTTCTCTTTGTCCGGTCAAAGGAGCAATCAGTCCGGTTCGCCGGAATATCTGGGCAGCTCCTTCGAGCCTAGATCTCCTCATCATAGTCCACCGGATCTTCCACCCCGAGTTGATCGAAATGCGAAGCCGATTATTAATCATACGCCACGGGGAACGATAGGGCGATCCGCTCAGGAACGTCTAGGAGTGAATAAAACCGACTCAATTCTAGATATGGGGAATTACATCAATGCAACCCCCCACAAAGCAAATGCCACATCATCCCTCGAACGAGCACAGCCAAAAGCGGTAAGCGATATTTCTTTCTTGAGATGGCGTAATTCAAAGGCACGCTGTTTGACCATAAGATATATTTATGCTTTCTTACATAGGGAAGTTACGACAGCATGTCTTCATACGATTCGTACAACAATACTAATGGGAACGCGAACTATGGAATGGCGAATTTGAACGCGTCGACAGGTCGTTTGGGTCCGAATGTACCTGATGATCTCAAAAGCAGTAATATACCGAGCGCAACGAGAGCGCACGATCCGTATAGATTTACTAGATCTACAGCTCAACCCATTTCCACGCATGACGCTCAAACGCGAACCGATTATGCCAAATACAGGTGTGTATTTAATACACTTAACAAATTAAAATATATTTCCTGTTTACATCTTTTTCTTTTTGAACTACTTAATACATGTATATCTTTCTTTATAAAATAAGGATATTTTAATGAATTTTTTTTCCTTGTAATCATCTTTTATTGATATAATTTATTTCAAATCTTTTTTTTTTCCATCAAACTTTTGTGTGTGATCAGTGTGTCTAAATGAGAGCTAAACGAGATTATCACTTCTTTCTGTTACACAGCCGATCTACTGACTACAAGTCGATACCAATTTCACAAAATAAACCAGCAGGCACCTATAAACCGATACCGCCTCCGAAGCCGAAGAATTACAGACCACCACAAACGTCACTTGGACAAACGGAGAACAACGGAAATGATGCGAGTAATTCGTACCAACACTCGAAGAGTTATTCCATCGCTACGTCGCATGTGCATAATGGGGTAATTATTTTATAAATTGTAATAATTCTGCAAAGATGATTATTTTTTCTTTATATTATTATTCTTATCATTATTATCAATGTCTGCGATGATTCATAATTTAATGAGGATCAAAACGCGATAATATCGATCAGTCGCGATATCTTTGTGAAATCTTACGCGAATTTTTATCTTCATTTAGGTAGAAAGCAACAGCAACGTTCAGCGCAACAGCGGTCAATATTACTACAACATCCCGCCGCCCGGCCGTCACAATGAGGGCAATATCGTGAATTCGCATCACAATCTAAGTCATCTCACGTCGCCGACGCACAGCCACAGCCTCAGTCACACACATTCTCATTCGAGCCCGCCAGTGACTACCACGCATTCCCATAGCAATAGCACCGGCCAAATCAGTCTCGGTCTAACGCATAACCGGAACAGCACGAATCACAATGGATATATGCACAGTAATAACCACGCTCCCGCAAGCTCGCTCTATCCCTCCGCTAATCCTGGACACAATAGGGAACCCAGCGGTCTGGACCTGGCTGGTAGTCGAGAGCAAAGAGGAAGCGCTTTCGAGCTCTACCGAAAGCCGGTTCATCATTACAATATGAGGTGAGTAGAGGCGAAGAATTCGTCTAGAAGAGAGAACCGAAGGATCCAGCGGTGACCTAACTCGTATTTTAAGAACGTGAGACGATTAATCTTGTCCCTTGCACACGGGCATTGATATTTTTAAAAGCACAAAATGGATCTTGGAACATGGAGAAACTAAACGAAATTCTCCTGTTAATTAAAAATACAATATGTTAATTATAAATCGTTCTTTTTTACTTTTGTAATATCTTGAGTGTACGTCGAATGTCCCTTTTCTCAATCCCAACGAAAGTAGCTCAGTAGGAATGTTGTTGTATGTTGCAGTTAACGTGTATCCTGATGCAAGACTTAATATATTAGGATGAATTAACGAATCTATCGGAGTTGCGCAGAGGAATGAATCGTGCAATGTCGTAGACGTAGATAAAAAAAAAAAACAATTACGTTAGCTAATATCACAAAAGATACTGTGCCTTTTTCAAATCGATAAAAAAATGTAACCTTCGATTTGTGTAGAAATCCTGGAGATACCAATGGACGAAGCGTTTTTTAACCCTATATGAAGAAGTACTTAAATATTTTATACACAAACAAACAATTTTGTATCACGAAATAGACCATTTTTTTATTGTATGACAAAAAAAATAATGTTGAAGATTATCTTTTTCGATATGTACGTAAGAAATCTTACCATATCTTTATGTATCATCTTTCGTGATACATAAATTACGTGTACGTTTGATAAAAATAATGTTAGTTAAGAACGATTCTTAAAGACAGATAAGTTGTAAGTGCAATGTAACGTAACAATACTCAGTCGACTATACACCTGATAAAATTTGTACAGTTATTAATTATATTTTCGCGCTTTTGCTGCAAATATGAATAACACCATGATGAGTAGGAGAGCAATTTTATAAAGTTGTTGCGAAAAACGTTAACATAAATATCATAGCGAGTATTCAACAGTTTACAATACTTACCGCTTATTTTTTAAGCAGATAATAGAAAACGCTTTTAATTTGTGCGATAATTATATCTACATCATTGACGTATGTGATAATGATTAATAAAATTTTTATTGTTATTATACAAGTGCATGGGGTGTGCCTGACTTCAAATTTTTTTAGGAAATGTTTATTATACAAGAAATTAATAATTATAATATACTTGATAATATCTGGTTTTATTATGTTACATGTAATAATAACACAATTATTATCATTAATATTATTATTTTTATAAAAATATAGTCAATATAAATGAAATATTTAAGAAACTACAATTCTTACTATACCCCATAAATAATCAGAAATTCTAAAGAAAGGAAATTTTAAGAGAAATATTCTTTTTTTTTTAGTCAGGCACGCCCATGATTATTTATTATGAACTGTATTATGCGTCATTAGTAGTAAACCAAATGGTCTTTTTAGAATTAGGGTGAGCATCATAAAGAGCTTATATTAATAATTAGCGTTGTTAGATCACAAACAATCTGTGTCATCGTGTACCAACACACCCTTATATCACAAATTAAAGCGTAAACAAATTATATTGTTGTTAACAAAGTACGACAGAGAGTAACGTTACATATACTAGATATACGTTAAACGAAATTAGTATAAGTTTAATTGCTATTGACGCGATCATTATGCATGAGTGTTAAATTTAAACGTATGCGATTCACCTCGCGCTACCGTAGCGAGGTTGTAGGATTTATTAATAAGGACCAATGTGATGTCCGTATGACAGTTATGAGAAACTCGAGCAAATAATAGACATTTGAACACAAATCTTGCTTTTTTATCAAAGAATGAACGAAATGTACGATTGAGGCAAAACATGTATGATAATTCTTACATGATTAATGAACGTTTGAAACTTAATAATTTATTTTAATTTGTACCTTTTACATCTCATTATGTATATTTTCCTCAATAACGAACACACATAAATTTTTGCTATTACTATATTTTTAACCCTTCCCAACAGGGAACAGGCTTTTCTTGAATATGTGAAAGTAAGAGATGAAAAATAGAAATGAATTGTTTTCTATGGAATATAATATTAAAGAGCAGATATATTTTATATGTTGATCTTAATGCGCCTGCATTTATTTCAATAATTACTTTTTATAAATCACATAATGTAGTAGCTCGAAAAAAATTGCCGCAACCCAGGATGAAAGAACGATGTCAAAAAGTGAAAAAATAAAGGGATAAAAGAAATAAATGAAAAGAAGCACATCAGCTGCAGTTGCTTAAAAGATTCTGTAATTTGCTGTTTATATTACATATGTGACCATAAAGTGTTTTTCTTGACATAAGATAAAAATTAAGAAAACTAGGTAACGAATGTGAGCTTTAACAAAATATTATGCCAAAATATTCTATTACGTCTAACGAAAAACGTCTGTTTAAAAAATATCACGTTGAATCTGCTTAATGTCTTTAATGTACATGTATAATTGACACTATAATTATGGCTAGTCTGGTAGATATAACAACGAAGATCCCGATATACATCTATTAACGAGCATAATTCGTGGGCAGGATCTCGCATATAATTTAGAGTCTATAAAGTAGGGGGAAGAGATGAAGAAGCGCTATTATTACATGGAAAAATGCATGACCTAAATATTGAATAACATGTAATTGGTACGGCTGCGAAATATTTGTAATTCCATATGTTTTCCTAATGATTCGATGTTTCGATACATCAACGCAGCGATATAATTTTATGAGTACGTCACAAGAACGCAATATGTTAGTAGACGAACGTATATTGATTCCGTTGTTTGATTAGTAATTTTAATGCACTTTGCGAATATGGACTTAAAAGATAGGGATATATTTCATTCAATTATATATGGATTCGTTATAATTCGCGACCTGCGGGAATTACGATAGTTCCAATTACGTATTCTTTCTTACTTTCTTTTACATATTAGCGATTCCGTTTAAATAACATTCTTATTGCGACGACGGAGAGCAAAATTCTCAAGCAAAAATACAACTACATTCTACAACGATTATTATTGTCGGTTTCCCAGAGCATTTGAACGGCACGAATCGGCGATATGGCGATTTCACTTCAATCCCAGCAGCCACTCAGCTACGCCGAGATAATAGACGGTTTGTGCAATTCCGAATAACGGCGCTATGACTATCATTCGGCAAGCGCCGCCTTTGAAGAACGCCGTAGGTCCCTCGTTTTTAAATGTCTTCCTACAAGCCGGAAATAATTATTATAAAGCCTTTGTATTATCCTTACTCTGATTTGAGATCTAAGCGCGCATGAATTCATAGATTTATATGTAATTTCGTGTATAAACTTATTGCTATAGTAATGACTGAACGATGACTGAATAAGCGAATATTCAAGAGATGACTCACAGTATACAGTCTAACACTCCGTTGTACGTTGGATCACCAGGTGCTTTTTTGATAACTTGCAGTCTAGTTTTGATTACGTCGAATGGATTCACCATTAATGCGGCCGTCGAGCCGGCGGCGCATCCGGCAAGGAATGAACACCAGAATACAGCTAATATGAAGCGATATTGTTACCGTTAATATAATCTTCGTTTAGGATCGTGTATAACAGCGCAATTATATACTGGTACTTACAGGAACCGTCTTCTCGCTTTGGCCCGAGATCATTCAGTCTGGCGAACAGCGGGAAGTAAATGACGGAAAACGTGACGTCTCTGAGTGCCGTGGCGCCGGTTCCTTGGTACAGCCCCAGTATACCTCGCTTCCTAAGTAGATCTACCGTTAATGACCAAGCGGATACCTTTGGCACTGCTTTACCCGCTGCAACAGTAATGCGTTATGCAATTTATTGTTATAGACACGGACAGGCGTAATAATTCTAAAACGGATACAGTTGTACACATTTCCACGTTTTAGAAACTGTTCCAATATGCGTTACATTTCTATATCGTATAAACATGTGTAAAACTTCAAATTTTACAAAATATGTAGTCGTCCATGGCAATTAATCAACATCATAAAAGATACAACAAATAAGAAGCGTCTGTTGTTCGAAATTGCGAAATTATTAACAATGTAACAGTAATGAGAAACTTAGAGATATGTGAACAGCGCGCGATACCCGCGAATAATCTCGCTGCAAAATTCGACGAGACGCAAAAGGAATATCTTGAGAAGTTTATTGATTGCTTTTATCACCTTCCTTAGCTGCCATGGCGACTCTGCCAGCGTCTTGCATTTGTATTTTAAGCAGTTCCATCGGAGTGGTAACGACTATTTGGCATGCTCCCGCCAAGCCGCCGGCGAGCATTTCACGTTCTATTGGCAATTGTTGTCTGGACAACAGATTAAAAGAGTCCTGGGATCACGGCACATATTGCAAAAAATCTTAATACATGAAGACTGGCACACGACTGATCTTCGAAAAAAAATATTTTACGTTCTCGAAAAATCGCTTTTCGCGATTGACTAGTATGTTTAGCAACAGGTAAATTTTACCGAGCTCAACTTTTCCAATTAAAAGTAAGGCCAATCCATTGTCTTAAAACCGATTTTCGATTATCATTTAATGGCTATGCGATTCAATTGTGTATTAATTAAATATTCAAGGATTAATTTTAAAAAATCAGTTTCTCGAATTTATCAAAGTTTTTTGAGGATATAAAACGTGATTGTCTAAAATTCCAATTGATTTTCTTTCGGAAATAATTGTCAGGGTGCCAGTCTTGGTGTAAGGGAGATCATTCAACGCTAGTGGCATGATAAACAATATATCAAACATCTTAATAGACCACAGAGCATCAAAATACATTGGCAAAAACGTAAACGAAGCAAACTGTTAACTTTATGATTTGCAATTTATTTGTAATTCCAATAGCATGACGTGACACTAATGAGAGCTCTTTATGAATAGACGAAATTATTCGGTATATCAAAAAGCAACTTTTAATGAAGCAAATGAGACGAGTTACAATTTATAATTGTAAGCTAAAATAAAAACTTGACAGTTACATTGCGTTATAGTGCTATCTGACATTTAACAAATTCTCAGCAACTCTATCAGACTATTTCTGACTAAAGTTTGTATAATTTCTGGTATGTCATTACTCTTGGATTTTGGATTGTTCTGAAGAAAGTATTTCGTAAGGAAGAAAGGGGGAAAGCAAAAATTACCCTGCTCTCGTCGATTGCTTGCGACTTGGTTAGCTATTATGGTTGCTCGCACCGTTTGCCAGGTCATTTAACTCGGAAATTACATTCAAACAGGTAGCTTCAGTTGTCTAGAATTACAGAATAATATACTTCAATATATTTTATGACAATATAAGATTCTGGCATAATAGCACGAGCCCAACTTTGTTTTTTGCCTTTCTCGAAAAGTAAAGAATGAGCCATGTTCGTAATCTTAAAATTTAATAACGCTTTAACCAATTTAGAATAGAACTAAAGAGTTACAATATCTATAAAAAGAATAAATGGGAACTGAAAATAGTCTGTCAATTTTTACTAAGAAAATTAATTCCAGAAGTATATATGTATATCGTATAGAATATGCAATAATTCTGCAAATTTATTCAGCAAAAATCGGACACTATAAATTCTAAATTAATATGTTCTTGAACATTAAATCATTCTCATTAAATAATTTGTTGTTTTCAAGTATCGCTGGACCCACAGTTATAATAAAACGATTTTTTTCTAGTTACTAATAATTTGTTGACATTAAATAGATATACACTTTGTGTGTAATTTACTTGGAAGGTAGTGTCGATGTTAAGTGCAAGCAGTTATTGAAGAAATTAATAACAGTGGTTAGCAACAAGAATAAATATACTCTAAGGTATTCTAAATGCTATGATGCTCTAATGACAAAATGCTATGATGCTCTATGATGCTCTGCTGATCAAACGATACAGCACTACATTACTAATTTTTGAGGCTTTCCAATTATGCTTTTTTTTTTAAGAAATAAACTGTTATATTTTCCGAAGTAAACTAAACAATATAAATAAGTATTATATTAACTAATGTCTTTGATGGTAGCAATATTTTTCGGCATTTGATAACATTTAAAACAATTTATTGCAATGATGAAAACCTGATTGACGAAATAGATGCAAATTTGGTATATTAAAGAAGAATTGTAATATATTACAGAAAATATATGTGTAATTTTATTTAAATAAAGAAACCAAAGAGATCTAACATTTTCGAATTTTTATTCTAATAATTTTCATACCTATGTGTATCGTCTACTATGCATGCAACTTGGTCTAATCGATACTCTTTGGCTTCTCATTTTGTTATTGACGTCATTTAAACTTCATGGCTTCATAGATACACTCGCTCGTATCCTCCATTAATTAAATTAAAAAGACGAAATATTCAATTAAAAAAGTTAATGTTGATTATAATGTTTGTAACAGTTTACCAACGCTTGCGTCATTTCAATTTAATAGATGATGATTTAATAATCATTTCCCTTCATTATATAAAATTTGCCAAGGAATTAAATTAATTTAATAAAAAACCTAATTGGAAAGCCCGAGTTTTCAACAAATTTTACATATATAATTTAATAGAAATTTTATTATCCAAAATATATTTCATGCTGATCCACTTGCCATAAACTTTGAATAAACCCCTTTAAAATACATAAGTATTAAATACAGTGAAAAAATAATTGCTACAGAAAATTAGAATTTTAAATGGAAAGGAAAAGATGACGCGTATAAGAAAAGAAGTTATAAATTATCTAAAAAATAAAAAGATGTTAAGTATTATATAGGATGCTAAAGATTTAAGTCCATTTAAAATTAAATCTATAGAATATGAGAAAATAAATTGTTAATGAGTACTAGGCACTCACTATGAATACCTAATGACTATCTTTAAAAATATATTGGCATAATCCGACTAAACAACTCCCATGCTACTTCTCACGGGTTAACTTGCTCTGGCAATGTTACACACAGAAAGGAGCACATATACCACAAACTCTTATACGTCCGATAACATGAAAAATATATTATATAATATATTATTTGCAACATACCCAGGTCCGAGGGAAAGATAATGCCTAAATGTATCATTGGCAGTAAGTTTGATCGCTTTCTCGGGTGTGATCAATAATATATTTACAGCGGATCCCTTATACATTCCAAAATAACCCTCTGCCTTGTACGTCTTTTTAAAACAATCAAACCTGGAAAAAATTGAATACATTCGTTTATGATAAATCTCTTTGTGTTTTGTGTTCTTTTGAATTTTATCTCTTGTTTTCTTCAAAAAAACCTGGACATCTATTTACTTTATATTTAAAAAAGAAAATAAAAGAAAGTGTAAGTAAAATAAAAACGATTATTATGTGAAATAATATAACAATTGCTTTGTATATAATTTGATTATCAATAGACTAAGAATAATAATAATATACAAATTAATATTTCGAAGCTGCTTTTTAGTATAATAATTAGGGTATTATTTTTTTATTTGCGATGTATAATATCCATGTATGTATAATAGCTACTATAATTTCTGAAATAAAATACTTGCATTGACTTATACATGCGTTCGCCACTCGGACCGACAACTTGATTCTGTAATCTTGTTTTAACCAAATCGAGCGGAAACACCACGGACACTCCAATAATTCCGGCAATGCCACCGTTTATGATTTTTGGTATAAGTCTGAAAAACAGATACAAGGTTATATTACACACTTATATTTATATTCTTCTACATTGAACTATTATATCTATAAAGAAAAAACATCTGTTATTTTATTCCTTAATAACTTTATCTTTTCATTTATAATTAAAATAAAATTGTAACGCTTCTAAATCAGCATGTTCCGGTTTCAGATGTTTTCAAATTCGTCGTTTTACAAGATGTTATTATTTTGCAAGTAAGATTTTACAGAAGAAAGACGTACTTGAATTGCTCCGCAGGTTTCGGAGCTGGAGGTTTCGGACTGTCCTGTGCCATTGTTAATGTTAATTAGGGTCCCGTACCTGTCGAAGAAATTGATAGAATTAATAAAAAAAAAACTATATCGGTGATCAATGTCAAATTGCCGGTACGAAAAAAGATGTAAAATCTTTTCTTCGCACGCATCATAATAGCAATTGTTTTAATTCCACAAATATGAGCGTTGCGCAAAATTTTCCATTCAAATTCGTAGTGGAAAAACCTCGCAGTGTTGCGGAGGTATATTTGTCTGCAAAATTGATGGTGATTTGCCAGTGTGGCGTCAGTTAAGCCACAGGCATTAACTGTGACACTGCGAGGACGCTCTAAACAGTAGTCAAAATATTGTGCCAAAACTCGAAGGCCGTTTCATCACATAAAAGCGCTTTATTTCGCGGCGCGCCTGCCGGACAAATTGCACTTTCCGGGCAAAGATTAGTGTTCATCATATATATTTGTTGTCATCAGTTTTTGACGATAAGACATAACGCAATCGATAGATTACGCGAAGAGGTATAGGAATTTAAAAGATCTCACGAAAGAGCACAAAATCTGAAATTATATCTTCCTCCTGCGCTATCTTTATTTCGTGATAATGAAAACTAAGTATTCTTTTCTCTTGGCACCTGGCTCTCGGTTTCCATGCGTAATTTCTATTTTCGTCCTTTGTTTATTTTCGATATTGTAGGACTCCCACGGACGATAATCGACATTCTCGCTAAACGGGAATAGTTTTTATTTACAGTCGCTTGACACAGTGACTCACGCCTTTTCCGGAGCTCGTTTCCCGTTTAATTAATTAGTATTTTGATACCCTAGTCGCGGGGGATATATCGCCTTGGAAACCTAAACTGTCTAAAGGTCACGATGCGTCCGTTGATTCGATCGCGTGCGTTACCATCGAGCTCACTCGTTTCGTTACACAGAACGCGGGCATTGACATCCTACAATAGCGTAATCAATGCGACGTCAGGCGAACAGAGAACGTGCTATCGGCCCGTATCGAAGACGTATATACACGTGCACCACGTATATATACGCGAACGGAAACCAATCGGCGATCTGCCGATTGTGAACCGCGCAAATTGATTTCGTTTTATCTACCTCTCCGGATCTCTTACATAACGCTTCGGCGGTAGACCGAGTCGATATTACCCTAGAGCGAGTTTGTAATTCGTTCCGAGCGTCCGAATCCTGTTCCGTCGAACAGAGAGAAAGGGAATTTAACTTGGAGGCAATTTCTCCATATCTCTCGCGGAGGCGCAGGCAGGTTTCTATTATACGAAAAACAAGATGCCGAATAAAAGGCTGAAGCACTTTGCGGAAAGTTGAGCACGGGAGAATAATTGTCGTTGTCCAAACCGTCTACGTCTTGCGTTTAATTAAACGTGGATAAAACACTTCTTACTGCATTTACGCCAAAGGCACACTCTTTGCGTCGTTTTAAATAAGTCGAGAAATGTGTGTTTCTCTTTTTATGTGATCTCGTTCGATGAGATTCAATAAGAGACATATTTTTCCAAACACGAAAGAGTAAGGGGATCTCGGAAGTTATCGAGATTGTTATATTGTTATCTTATCCGCTCCAGTAGCTTGTTGCAATACAGATAAAAGCGGGAGCATTTTTGAGTCACTGTCCATTTAACATAACGGTAAATGATATAATAAAGAAAGTGAAGATCGTGGTAAAATAATTTTAAAGATAAAATTGATACGACGCGGCATTAAAACTATTAAGTCGAAAGCTTTATAGCAGAGTAATCATATTATTATCTTTTGGAATAATTACAATTGCTAATTATATCATTGTAATTGCATATGATAAATAAATATATGTATACCTACAATTATGACTGTATAATTATAATTTAATAAATAATATGAATTAATTTATTGCTGGAAACTGATATCGCGTAAAATGAAAAATTAATATTAATCTAAAACAAATTCGCGTACAAATGACTGATAATCTGTATAAATGTCGATAGTATTCGTTTAATTTCGAATCGATTTTCATTTCCCATCCCAGACACATCGCAGGTGAAATCCTACTGTGTCAAGTTACGTTTGCAGACAGATTCGGGAAATCGGATTTTCTCGCGTATTGAAACAATGTACAGAGGAATTCCTCTATGTCAGAGGATTGCATTCCTAGAGGAGATGTCCTCGATTCCATTCTATGTATTTCTTTCTTTATTTCTTATAAATTTCAGAGCAACTGATTTTTAGAGCAAGTAATGATCTTTTCAGTTTCCAAATTTTGTTGCAAGCAAATCTTATAAAATTTTATTGTTTTCCACCAAATATCAAGTAAAGTAAAAAATATAATAAATTAACATTTTTTTATATATATTATAAGTGACACATATTTTGTCTATTACAATTATTATTATATTGCATCAATCGATTACGCTCGGTATATATATAATACATGATAAAATATATTTACATATATTTCAAACACGTAATAAATATATTATACATGCTGTAAATAAAATTAAAAAATTATCCAAATTTAAAAATCACAGTCGCAAAGACAATTATAACGGAAACTAATAAATTTCGCCGTCAACGATCGTTTACCCTGCCCTGAGAAAAAATTCTCGCGCGACCAAAGATCATCAACGTTTAATCGGCCTGTCAGGCGTGTCAGGGCTCAGGGCATCGTGTGCGCGAGGTCCTCGCAGGTTATGTCAAAAGCCAGGCCGCGCGAGCGACGATCAGCTGATCGGCCGACCGTGCCGTCGACGTTCGTCGTGGCGCGTGAAAAGACGAGCATTGTTCGACAAAATCCCCCGCGAACGAATTGAAAATAACCCGTCGCGCGTCCCGTTGCGACGGTAACGCGTTCGACCGCCAGCGTCATATCAATTCTATTATTACATGTTCAGCCTCCGGAGCGCGTTCGGAGCGAAGATCGAACGCGCTACGCGGTCGTTCGACTCGAGCAAAAGCGTTTCGAGTCTCGGACACTCCTCGACCCCTCTTTATATTTTCTCACGATGCGCCTTCTTCCGTGAAAGAAAAAAAAAGAGAAATTCAACTCCCATAATCGCGAAATCGACGGCGAGCAAAGTCGCGACTCGCCGCAGGGATGTGGGAAAATCGACGGGTCCAACACTTACCGGTCAGACGAATAATCCGATGTGCACAAAGTGGTCGTCCCGCGCGATTGACGTGCCCGCTCCCGTCGCTCCCGATATTCCGGACGATCGAGCCGATCGTGAGATGCGAGACCCGGAACGGCTCCGATATTAGCCGCGGACCACCGGGAGACTCGTTTCCTTCGCGTCGGCCGACGGCGATTTCGCGAGCAGCATCAGCGACGCTCCGTCGACGGCGCTTTTGACAGACGCTCCGTGGGCTCCGAGCATCAAGGCGTTCTCGGTTCTCGCTCCAAACATCTCGCCGAGGCGCTCATGCGCGCGCGCACGCGGATCCCGCGGGCAGGGTCTGTAAACGCGAAGACTCGAAAGTCCCTCACCTCGATTTATCCAGCTGTTATCTTCCCTAGACCTCTCTGAGACCATCTCGGACTGGTGCTCGGCTGCTCGACCGACCGCCGACCGACCAAGCGGAGAGAGAAGCCTACTGAGAATAAACTGCCCGGCGTTTTTAAATAAAACATACTTCTATAACACTCTAAACTGGTCGCTTTGCCGATATTTTTGATGCCGAGGATAGGGAATGCCATTAAAATGTATCGTACATACATGCTCCGCATGTATGAAACACGTGGTCAGGCAACCCTTGAACTCAGGCATGTGGTATACAGAGTCACGTGGTAAACAGAGAAACACGTGGCGCGCTCACAGACAGTGCGCATACACATTCATACACGATACATGCAATGGCGGCTCGGTTTCATTTCCGAAACTTTATTTCTATCGCATGCGAGGTAATCATAGGGAGCGGTCTAATTGCAGAAGTCTGCGAGAAACATACGTTTATTAGCGCCTCTTCATATATACGCAAAACGTGTATATATATATCTTGAAATTACGTATATAGTCGGTGTGATATGAATATTTCTAACAAGTACTTATATGTACTTATATACCTATACTTTCTCTTGTCGAATATACACTGCCGCCCAATTTTAAATATATTATTTAATAACAATTAAATAACTTGCAAGTACAGAACGTAGGAATATACTTATTATTTGTACAGGGAGGAACAACGCGATAGCCTTTTGACTTTTCGCATGTGTTGTTAGCGGAATTTACAATTTGATTATTTTTGTATCATAATTACGGCTCGATTATTTCTATAAAAAAAATTTATGAAATATATCCTACTTAATCTCTGTTTGAGAAACTTTTGTTTTATAAAAATGTAACGAATATTTCTTAAATCTAAATCTGTTCAGTTAGAAAAATACAACAACTTGAATTTTATTTCAGTAATATAGTTATGATTTAATTAGAACAGCTAATATAAATTTGAAAATATTAATTGCATGCATATATTGCATTCCCATAAATAACAGATGCATAACTTATTAAATTAATTTACAACAATGGAAATATTAATCGACTCTATACTGGCCATTATAATCGCCAAGACGACCATCGTATTGTCTTGGCGATTATAATGGCCAGTAGAGTCGATTAATATTTCCATTGTTGTTTTTATTATTTGACTGGCGAAATAAAAGTAATTTATTCTGTTTAAATTAATTTAATTAAGACCAATTAGACAATTATACGTATATTCTCGAATAATCGAAGAAGGAACCTTTATTAAATACACATAACATATCTCTGAACTTATTAAGGTTGAAAAATGATCTACTTCACATGAAAAATGATTTCAACATTTATTTAATTTATTATGCAAAATTTTGTACACGATATAAAATATTTTAAACAATGAAGTGAGGAAACGCTATATGTAAGCGATAATTTTTTACTTTTTGTCCAAAACGATTTACATACATACTCATATTTACTTCACTACGTTTTACTCGGTTTTACTCCTTCATGAGAATCACCTTGACAAAGGCTCAGCAATTTAGCTACTATAAAGATTCTCATTCATATGCAATTATGCCTCAGCGACGAAAAATTACATGCGCTCTTCAGGATATTTTTTCGCGGCGGAAACCGCATAAACAGGCAATAACTTTATATTTCAAATTATTCTGCGGACTAAATGGATGTAACTTATACATTCTTCATGCGTTTGTGATGCGCTAGTCATTCTTTGAAATAACCGCAACTGCGCATATGCCAGCTTTAGATAATTCAGACATAGATGCGATAAAGGAGAACGCCATAAAACAATAAAGCAATTACAACGAGGATGGCGGAAAAAAATTTAGATAATACGTTTTGAAAGATAAAAGGTAGTAAAATAATTTTTTTTAACTTTTAATAAATTTTACTTTAATAATTTAACTTTTAATAAGTTTCCTAGAAAAAGTCTCTTTATTTAATTTGCACTTTGAAATGTATTACAATTAGAAGTTATATATTATTATAATCAAAGATATAATTTAAATTTCTCGGAATTACGTTAGACCAAGAAAATAACTATAATTCAACTGAAAAGTTTCAAGTGTAAATCGAAACGTAGTCCAATTGTTACGCACAATGCAATTATTTATGATAAAATAACACAGGATATATAAAACATTCATGTGTGGGTGAAAGCTTATTTTAAATTACAATTTGCCCTGATGTTTTTCAAGAACATTTGCCGCCCCCTCGCGCAACCTGATTATCTTAACGACGCGACCTTTGATCCTTTCAAGCATCGCCCTACGTGTTTTTGTATGAATTAATTATGCATATATACGAGCGCGAGCTAATTATTCTCTTTAGAGGCATTGAAAATAAGATTTCTCCATACTAATTCTCAATACTAGTTCTCAAGGTGCGTCTGGATGTGTAATCGCGTGGACTTTCCCCGTAAACTTCACATAGCTTTATATTGCAATAGTAATCTTACGCAATCATAATCGTGTCACAGCATCACACGTGACGCTGTTACTCGATAATGCAACCGATAATCATATATGTCGCAATACTCAACAGCATGCCGGAATGTTTACGGAAAAGATTGTATTTTGAAGTGCATCGATAAAGAACGTGCTATAATTACTATTACTAATTACAACGGCGCCGCGGCGCCGGCGTAGCTAGAATTTTTGAAACAAAATTCTTATTTATAGAAATCGTATATATGTCCAAAACAATTTATATCTCTTTCCTTCAAAATGTTTTTCCTTTTTACAGTTTCCAAAGTTGCGTACTTATTCTTTTCCTAACATAATTTATACATGTTTTCTCTTTAATTGTGATGCCATTACCGTAAGGCTCGGAGTACATGACAATGGCTTTGTCTTGCTATCGCCATTACCTAGCAGTTAACATATTTCGTTTCATGTAGTTAAACGGATCTTTCAAATATTTCACATATTTTGTCAACTTTCATTTTTTTCCTGTCAAACCTTCCGTCATCCGTCGAACATTTATAATAATGAAACCATGTCGCACATTTAAAAAAATGTTACGTGTCACTAAATTTGCTACAGTAGCTATAATCTTTTTTTTCCGTGATACTTTTCAAATGTCCCATGGTTTCGCATGATTTTATAGTCCAGTACTTTTGTAGAGTAGCCAATAATTCTGTATAAAGAACTAAAGCCTCTTTTCATCTAGGTACCGTTACGCGAGACAGGAAGTCTCTCGACTTGCCTGTTTTCCAGTTGCTGTTAATTGTTCCTCTTTAACGCTTTTCTTCAAAGAGTCTTTACATACTACGCGACGTTACAGATGTTTGTCGTAATAGAAAAGTAAAAAAAAATAAAAAAATATATAAGTCGAAGTAAATTCACTAAAGCGCAAAGTTCTTCGGCATCATGCAAATAAATTCTCAACTTTCTTAATTAATGCAAATATAAAATCTGTCATTTATTTCATATGCATTGGACATCAATGGATGGGAATTTATTGCTTTCTTCCGCGACAAAACACACACACGATAAAATTTTAAATCCAATTTTAATTCCAAGCCCATCACGTTTGTTGGCGATTTTAAAATTAATGTTACGAGTCTCACACATTTTACATATATATTCACTTATTGCCGTAAAGACCGTCAAAAAAATTCAATATTCTATAATTTATGAAGGAATCTGAATTAAAAAACAAATATTTTTTTATTGCCATTTTTCAATTTTTTTGCTGACGTATACGTTTTTGTTCTCCGGTCGATAGTTTTTGGATTCAATGAATACCGTCTTTTCATTCGATGTCTTACATCTATTTCAGCGTTTTTTCTGTCCATATTTCTGTCATATTTATAATCACAAGAAAAAGAAACAGTTTTTACGTTCTGATGTTATTTCTATATATTATTCTATAATATGCAACAGTACGCAACAAATAAAGTTATAACTCTTCGACTATAGGTAGTAGGTACGTAAGTAGGTATGTAAGTAGGCTATATGTATAAGTATATCTGTCGGAATCAATTTGGACATAAACATGAGATCTTAAGATTAGAAATGTTTGTACAAGGTCGACGCAGGTCAAAAAATTCCATCTCAATAATTCACTTCAATCTACTGAGTGGCGCACTCAAGTTACCTGCGCACCCTTGACGCATGTTGAAAATAAGTTTGCTATTTTTTCTTAAATTAAAGTAAAATTTTAAGAATATATTCTTCAATAGTCGAATTTTCAGATAAAATAAAAAAATCAATTTTTTTTTCGAGACTCATTATTCATGGTATATTGCTCCTTAAATTGACGCTTCTTTTTTTTCTATCATATTTTTCAATATCTTGTGTATATTATTTCTACAAATTTAAATTACATATAAATGATGCAGCTTATAAATATATCGTCTTTAAAAGTTGACGATTAAGAGAGGCGTTTATTAATTATGTAGAATATAATTACGTGTTTGTAATGCAACTTATAAACATATTGTCTTTAAAACTTATCAGTTTAAAGAAGTTTGTTGGTCGAATTCCAGTCCACGATACGAGTTCCTGGACTCGATTATTAAATTCTACAGGACCTCTTGAAAAGCGAGCGTGACTAGAATTGAATGGAACTTATTCTGCGATATTAAATTCCTCACATTAATTTGAAGATGTAATTAAGAAACATAGTTGAGTATATATCATTACACTAAAGATTTTCTCTTGTAGATTTTTATTGTTATGTGAAAATATGACTTTATTTTATTTTTTTTGCTACTTTACGCTACAAATTTATTCCTTCGATAAATTATCGCTATTTATTAAGTTACATCCAACGTTGGCAGGCAAATCCATCCACGAAATAGAAAATCTCTTCAATATTATACGTAAAAAGCTGTAAACGAGTATGAGAAATTTCTGGAGCACTTGAGCGACACACGCACGTGACAATATTTCAACACCAATTCCGATTCGTAATTAATCGCAGGTTGAAATCGAAGAAATTAAACTGCAAACTTGGAGGGCCTCCGCGCGTCGTCCACACGCGCGTCCGTTCCTGATGTGTACGGAAGAACCGGTCGCTCAGGTCGCTGGTTACGGAATTTCAGAGTCCCGGGATGACAATGGACAGAGGCAGAAACGATCGAACCGTCATGTTGGAGCGTGCGCGAGGGGTCGTCGGGCCGCTGAGAAGGAAGAAAGGCCTGAAAGGCTCGTCTCCTGTTCGCCGTCCGCATTTGCCCGGCGGCAGTCGGACGGATTTGTCGTCCACGGACTCCGGACTCCGAATCAGGCAAGTCATCGAGGCAGACTGTTGCGTTTAAAACCCTCCGTGCGAGAACGTACCACGTGTGTGCGTCACACGTATATAGACACATATACATATATATGTACGTATACGACGTGTCGAGACGTCGGGGCGCTATCGCAAACGTTTCTCGCCTCGCGAAACCGGTCACTGATAGTTTTACGTAATCGCTCGGCGCGTTTGAATGGAGCGTTAGACGGACGTACGGCGTGGACCGGAGGCGTGGAACGTCCGTGTTTCTTTCACGTTTTATGTCATGAAATAATGTGTGCCGCGTGGCCGTCGTCGTTATCGCCGATTGATCGCCGCGTCTCCGCCGAGCTCGGAGTAGGAGAGACAGGCGTGATCGGCACGTGCGGAAAGCGAACTGATTATATTGGCGAAATCGGATCAGTTCGTTCATCGATACTTTCCGCTACGCCGGCGAATCTTGAAGACGAAAGAATGCGCACCGTGAGAAGGGCGAAGAGAGGAGAATGGACTCACACGTCGATTGACGTCAATGACGAAATCAATAGCCGAGCGAGACAAGTCGCCTTGATTGCCGCTTATCTGCGTAAATCCGATAAAATTTATTTCGTGTCGTCAACGTGCAAGGTCGGTTAAGTCGTAAGACAACTATAAGGATCATAAATGCAAAATTGCATTTTAAAACGTCTCCGTGATAAGTGAATCATGCGTGCGTTAGCTTCTGAACAATATTCATCTTTTTTTAATATAGGTATGTGAATTTGATTAGAGGGACACGGTGCAATTGTGTGGAAGTGAAAAAGCAAGTGTCCGAATTTAAGATATTTTGATATTTAAATGTTTTCACAATTTTTTCCCTCTTTTGTGTTGTATGTTGCAAAATATTGTACGTCGAAATAACATTGGGTTTAAATGCTTTTGTTACGTGACGTAATTAAAAGTATTGCAAAAATTTAAAAATTAAAAGAATGCTATCTCTAAGACTCATTACAAAATAATTGATTGCTGTTTACTGAATTGATCTTTGTTTTATTGCACATTTAAATAAGAGAAAATATATTGTCCTTTTTATATTAAAGTTTTAAAGTTTTTAAGTTTAAATTCTTATTTTATAAAGCAGCAAATAATTTCTAAAACTTTTTAATTAAATAATAATAAGTGAATATATACCGTTTGTGTGAGTAACACAAGTAATAGAAATGTGTCTTATACGGATGGGCTGGATCTCAGCGTCTAATAATAATATTTTTGCATACCTATATCTATTTTTCCAGCTGTGCAAACGCCGAGTGTCGAGCTTGAAACGCAGTCTCAAGTTGAAGCCGAAATAATACACAGAATTAAATTAATAATTATAATTTAATAATGTAATGCTAAATAAGCATGTTTTGGAAACAAAAATTGCAAAGAATTTATTGCGAACAATTACTTCAGCCAGGATTCGAACCTAGAACTCTGTAACATCTAGAACGAATGTCTTTTTACCAATTCGACCATTGAGGCACATATTTATCGCAATAAACATTAAATGATAAGTAGAGCCGTCATTTTAGACGACGTGCATAGGTAATAGTAAGTTAATAAGTGAACTTGACCGTTTTATGTTTCCAGACCGACATTAACTCGCCGCGCAGTTTGCTGAGCTGGAAAAAATGTATACGTAAAAATATTATTAGGCACAAAAATCTATAGCTCATTTGTATAAGGCACATTTCTATTACTTTTTAACTAAAGTTTCTTAGTCTTCAAATCTACCTGATTCATAATATTCAATCACCGTTTGACAGCCGGATGGTTGTCGTTTGAAATCGGGACTGTCTTTTAAGTGCAACATTGTCTCAATTGTCCTCTACTTACAAATTGTATTACTTCTATGTTTTTTACCGCGAACGTGATATTATTTTGATTTAATTGTTACCGCATTGTTGAAGATGGCTCAAAGCAGAACCGAAACGTCCAATTTATAATTGTGTATTCTATTAGTTATTAAGGATTTATATAACGTTAATTACGTACCATCAATCGTGTTGAACTCGCAAAATTCTTTTCTACTTGTCACTTGTTACTTTTCAATTTATTTAAATATATTTTATTTCCTTCTAAAATTAAATACAACATTAATTATTTTGATTTGATTTCAGACGAAATGGCAGAAGTAAATACCTTAGGATGGATCGACTATCTGGTTATAGCGGTGATGCTGTGCATAAGTGCTGGAATTGGTATTTATTATAGATTTAGTGGAGGACGACAAAAAACTATGGAGGTAATTATTATTATTTCTCTTGTTAAAAGAAATTCCTTAAAACAAGGTAATTTTTTTCTTCAACGACTTTCTGTAATGGGCAACGTGTGTTTCACAGGAGTACTTCATTGCAAGTCGTTCAATGAGCATCGTACCAGTTGCAATCGCTTTGGTGGTCTCCTTCATGTCCGCCGTTACGCTGCTCGGTGTGTCAGCTGAGAATTATACATACGGGACGCAATTTGTTGTGATAAACTTATCGTATTTGATAGGTACACCGATTGTATGCTACGGATTTCTTCCAGTATTCTTCAAGCTGCAGGCGACAAGCGCCTACGAGGTGAGTTCTCGGCGAAATTTAATTTCGCTCCGAGAAGGCGTTTTCGATAGCACATATATATTTGAAGGTGTATTACTTCTTTTAGTATTTAGAAAAGCGTTTCGGAGTGAGAGCTAGGATGATGGCTAGTTTTGTTTATTGGATTCAACTGCTATTGTACTCAGGAGTGGTGCTTTATGCCCCTTCTCTAGCCTTGGAAGCGACCACAGGAATCTCTAAGACTGCCAGCATCATTATTATTGGCCTCGTGTGCGCCTTCTATTCGAGTATAGGAGGCATTAAGGCCGTGCTGATAACCGATGTATTTCAAGGTTTACTTATGTTCGCCTCGGTGTTTTTGATTATTGGCACAGCCGCGGGCGATGTTGGAGGATTGGGACAGATCTGGGAAATCGCGAAGCAGGGGCAACGGCTCGAGTTTGATAGGTATCATTAATGTTTCTATTGCAACTGCATAAACTCGACGAATCATAAACACGTAACGCACTAATTGATTACTTTATTTTTGTTGCAGCATTGATCCGGATCCAACAGTAAGACATACCTGGTGGTCTCTTACGTTCGGCGGTTTATGTACCTTTTTATCACTTTATGGAGTGAATCAAGTACAAATACAGCGTACGCTGACTCTGAAGTAGGTTCCATAATATAGTAATCTTAGTAGTACCGGATAAGATTAATAATTATATCAAATAAGCATTGTTAAAGCATTGCTATTGTTTTACTTATTGTGCGTAAAACAAAAGTCAATCAAATAATTTTAATCTTTTTCACGTTATTAAGTATTCTTTTCTTACATCATGTTTACTGATTAAATTGCGTTTGAAAAATTGGAGAGAGAGAGAGAGAGAGAGCTGCATTATATATAAGTAAATTTCATTTTAGAAATATGCGATCTTCGCAAACGGCCATGTGGCTGTCCTGGCCGATTCTGACACTTCTTTCGATCACAACTTGCTTCTCGGGATTGGCGATATACAGCAGATACTACAATTGCGATCCATTTCTCCAGAAAAGAATTTCTTCGCCTGATATGCTTATGCCACTATACGTTATGGACACAATGTCCCAAGTACCTGGCTTAGCAGGTCTCTTCGTTGCGGGTAATACTCTCATCGCAAATTAACTGGTCCTGGTTTAATACTTTATAGAAATTATATATTACAGATTATGAAAATAAAAATATCGGAGAGCACAAATGCTCAAAATTTGATTTTACGCATAACTTCAGGATATTTTTAAAACGAAAGCGCGCATCAGAGAGTGGATATTGCAATACTAATCTTAGACTGTCATCTGTGTGTTTCCAGGTATTTTTAGCGCAGGCCTCAGCACAATCTCTGCGGCGCTGAATTCTCTAGCGGCAGTAACGTTGGAGGATTATATAAAACCCGTACATAGAAAGTGCAGCGGGCATGAATTCACCCCTACAAAGTCAGCCTCGGTCGCTAAAGTGCTCGCTTTCACGTACGGTATGATCTCCATTGCGCTGGCATTTTTAGCGCAATTTTTGGGCGGGCTACTTCAGGTAATGCAATTATTATCCCTAAACGTAAAATTGAGGACGATAAGATAAATTTCTCTTTTATCGTAGGCTTCCTTAACTATCTTCGGAGTAGTCGGCGGTCCGTTGTTAGGCATTTTCACGCTCGGCATGGGCACGGAATCGGCGACGGAAGGCGGTGCGATAGCCGGTGTTCTCACGGCATTCTCATTTTTATTCTGGATCGTATTCGGTGGGCCGCGTCCGATCCCACCTAAATTGCCGACGACTATCGAGGGCTGTAATAATAATGCTGCAAACATAACGATGTCTGTTCTGCAGAACGTTACGAGCTTCTCCAAGTAAGTGATTCGTCGAATATCAGCTATTTGCACACATATCATCTAAACCTAATGGATCGTATCTCCTTTTCAGAAGCACCGGCGATAGTTCGTACTTCTATTTATATCGCATTTCGTACATGTGGTACTCTCCTCTCGGATTCTTAATAACGGTCGTGATTGGACTGCTCGTCAGCCATCTGTCTCGTTTGTTCATCAAAAATCAAAACGACAATTTAGACACTAATCTATTCTTTCCTATAATAGCGCGGCATATTATACGGAAAAGGCGACGTAACGACATAGAGAATGAAGGAGATCCTGCGTTAGATAGAAAGTATTCTTTCAGCGACATAATCCACGGGAAAGACAGTGCCACCGATAAGATATGTACAAAACTTTAATAGTTTAATTGTTATCTGAAATTAATAGGTGGACATTCCGTACTTATAATCGGAGGAAATTTACGTTCGAGCCAAAATCGTAAGGAGAAAAATAAAACTATTTCTCATTCCTCGGGACCTAAATGAAAATAGTGACAATTTTGAGAAAACCGCGGGCTTAGCAAATTTTATCAATGACTTACAATTAGCGTAAGAATAGAACTCGTATTTGTAAGAATAACTTTTTGCACAGGTACATAATTTTTTTATTAATATTTTTTTAGATAGTTTTGTTTTAATACGTAAAGTTAGGCAATTGTGAATCACAACACAATGTCTTCCACGCTGCGTTTGGCACTGCCAATTTATACTGCACTGAGAAAAAAATTTTCTGCATTTTAATAAATATTAGTTTGTATACAACTGTGACTCTATTTATTAAAATGCAGAAAGCTTTTTTTCAGTGTGTGTATAAATAAAAATCTCTTACAAACACAACGATGTTTGTAAGAGCTATGCGTATTTTGTGTAAAAAATTTTGCAGTGGAACATATCTCTATATATATACGTAATCAGTTTCTGTTACGTACATAATTCTCGTAGATGTACATACTTGAAGGGAATCTACCTCTTAGAAAATCTTGACAATATTTAACAATGTAAGATGACAGGGAAAATGTAAGGTTTAAGGCATGACGCTTGTAACGTCTGTATAGCGATCCTGTAATAACTGTCCGATGATAAAGAATCGAAATAAGTTATGTAGCCTATATGGTTACTTCTTGTTGACAAATATTTGCGCAAGATACAGTTGTCCGATTATTTAGGAAGACTTACTATTTTCTATATAGAATGATTTAATCGCGACAGCGGTATCTGCAGATTTTGTTGGTGTCGTTTGATAGTTAAGAGAGAGCTTGATTATGATTGTGTGAGAAAAAGGATATATACACATCGTTCATAAACGACGTGTATATTCTTAAAATTTTGATTTAAAAATGTACATCTGAATAACAATACTGTGCCGTATTTAACATTAAATATTAATATTTAATGTAAAATTTGATAGAAGTGTTTAGTAATGATGTTGTTAATATTTAAGGAGCCAACAAATCATGTTTAATAGCATGTATCGAGAGTTCAGTATTTGTTTAAAGTTTAAATAAATATTTTTTTGTGTTAAAAATATGATGGTTTTGAAATTATTGTATACTCTGTCAATTTAGACGACAAACATGTAATTTTATATTAAAATTGACTGAATCGCGTGAACGATTTGAGAAATTACTTTACATAACATGTAATTCTATGTGAAAAAATCTATTTAAGTATGGTAATTATTGCTAGCAATTAGAAAGAATCGTCTAAATAGCCAATTATAAAATTCTACTTACTACTTACTACAATTATATTTACATAATAATTTCAACGATTAATAGCAAACTCCTTCAGATTTATAAGTTTATTTTTACATTATTCTATACGTAAAGGTCCCCGCACAATGAAAAATATAAGAAACAAGAAACAGATATTAGCGATTAGGACTAAGGAATCAGGAATAAAGCTGAATGCACAATAAAAAACACAGACAATAGATTTTTTTAACTATTCCTATTGGAAGCCGTGTATCAATGCTATACCAGCTTCATTCCTGATTTCTTATTCCTAATCGCTAATACCTGTTCCTTACATTTTTGATTGTGCGGGAGCCTTTAGAAGCAAATCTCGTCAAGTAGTCGGTTGTGCCAATACAATCTAATAACATAACTTCGTCATTAGATGGCTAAAACAATACTCGATAATTCCAGGATGTGGAAGCGCAAAAACTTTCCTGATTCTCGCCTGGTTTTCAAATCGCGGCTTTTCTGCACAGTTTTATCTACGTGTACCAACTATTGGCTTCCTCAAAATTCCTGCGGTATGGAGCGCTCAAAAAGAAAAAACAAAAGGAAAAAAAAGGTCTCGGAGTTTATGCAAAAACATGTCACCACCATTGCACAACGGATGGAGGGGAAAAAGCCAAGGTGGCAGCGGAAAGATTCTGGTTCGTTCGGATTGACACGCCAGATTGAACCAACGCCGGCCAGTTGAAACCAGTTTCAATTTATGCGACTCCGCCGGGCCGCCGATCGGGACTCTCTATGGGCCCTTTTTAATTATTTTTCCACTGTAATGCGTCGCGGGAGGCGGGGGAGAGAAGGGGAGGCTATAAAACAACCCGGTGTCTAAGTTTTCTTCCTGATCCGAGTGACCGTTTGTTAATGACCAATTAAGTCATCAGCGTAACAGAAACGGGTTGGCCTCATCTTCGTCAGAGGTGTCAAATGTCTCGATGACCTTCCTTTGCGCGGGAATCGATTTCCTTGACGTGTGCTCCCGACGTTGACTCTTGGCCACATTTAATTTACCACTCTTTGCTTTGTTTTGTTAATTTATAAACGAGCAAAGACGAGAGACCCAGCACGCGGAATTAGCGGCATTTCAGCTTTGTATCAAACGCTCTCGTCTATCGTTTTAGAAAAATTAGTAGTTTGAGAAACTAAAAAAGATATTTTTTTCAACCTACATTTTTCGGTTATTATCTTATTGAGAATTTGCGCGGAACGAAAACAATTCTAATTTATGTTTCTTTAATTTAGATTTTAATTATCAATTATCCTGTCCGACAATCTGCATGAAATAAAAACAATATTATAATTTAATATTAATTATACCTTAATTTAATATAAAGTAATATTAATTAAGCAATTATAATGTTGTACAAATTTTATGTGACAACATATCGCCATGTGGAATTTATCATTATGGTTTTTTTCTGCAATTGGCAACATTTTTTAATGTAATATCCACATTACGTGTCACGTAGCATTGCTTAAAAATCGTATGGACGTATCATTTAGATATTATTTCTTCAATTTTATTTCTTATTCATACATATACGCATATATATATTATTTTATAGAGTAATGGGAGTTTGTAACTCTCTTCATTCCCGCGCTCTCGTTGTATTGTTTTTGACAACACATTTAGATTATCTTTGACTTTCGATGTCAACATATGTATCTGTACGTGTAACGTCTTGAATTTTAGCCTCGTAGGAGTAAAGTCTCTATTTCGAGTGTTCAATCGTGTCCCAGAGTGATATATGTGATAATAATATAGTTCGTTTGTTTTCAGTGTAACGATGTATACGCGTTTCTATGTGTAATCTGTCAATTTTAGAATCAAAAAAACGTCGTACGCATAAATAATCTGGTCAATGTAACATGACTTGTCACGACATTTTCGACCGCGATCTGACATTTTATGAATAGTTTAACGATCTTATGAGAGGCATCTGTACGATTTTCTACGACTAAAGTTTGATGAGGGGTGAGTAGTAGTCATTGAAATTTGGCGAAAATCGTCTTGGTAGCGACAAATTTTTGTGTGACGGATTTTTTAATAAGTTTACAATTGACACAATTTTTTAAAGAAATTTTAAGGAATTTTTAAGGATGGTTATTAAGAAGAGTTTTGCTTCTTAATTTAGTTTCTGCGATCGAAATCTCATCTTGTCCATTAATGCCAAGAGTTTAATACAGTTTAATATTTCAATACGATTACAAACGCACGTGTGTAAACAATTTGACAGTTATAACGCGACTTATACACCGCGCAATTAGCGACATATTTTGCAGTTCGCGTCACTCACATCCGAGAAATCGTGATTAGCGCGGATAGAAATGATAGAAATCAGATAAAAACTATTCATCAGCTATCGCCCTTCGTCGATTTTATTCGGAATTATCTGGTTAGATCTGAACACGACTGCGTCCACAGGGTGTCCTAGAAATTCTTCGTTCTCCCGAGACGCAGGTATTAGGAAACAATATCGCGAAGCTGTTGATATAACAAATTCTCAATATAAATAAAATCGATATCTTCGTGGAAGGTCGATAAAAATGTGATTTTTTAACATTTGCTCAATGAAGAAAAATGCGCAAACAATTTGCAATGCGTTGGTATCAAAATTTTGACATAAATTTGAGTTATTTCCTTTTTCTCTTATACAAGGTTAATAAATATTTGTATCATATGTGTCAGCGAGCGTACGTCATTTTCGTTCAAAGAAATTGCCCGCCGTTTGTTATAAAGTCGAGATTATGATTTTAATTAAATGCATGATTTATGCATTTTCAATTTCAATTGACGCACATCGGTGCATAATCTTGCAACTGTTAGAAATTCCCGTCTACCTAGTTTGTTTATCATCCTGTAAACCATAACCGGTTAAATGTGGACTTAGCTGGATTCGCGCGGCGGCGTGGTTTTCGCGCGTGCTGCGACTTCTTATAAGTTGGACATGCGACATTGGCTTCTTGTCTTAGCTCGTATCGGCTAATCGACCATCGACCCTAAAATGTTACGCAAATCGTCATTCAAAATTATATATACATCGTCCTGCGTAATTAAGCAGAAAGAAGAACTCCAATAAAAAGTATTAAGACTAACCATTCTCGGAGAAGCGAAAGAGGGAAGAAAACAATAGAAAATTATTATGTTTCGAATAAACTTAGAAATATTACAACAACTTTTTGAACATTTATGTGAACCATTTCGAAAGTAAAGTCATCGAATAAGTGTAATTTAAATTGAACGATAAAGTTAAATGAATGCATGCTTTTGCGCCGATATTAATAACTCTAACGTTTATTATAACGAATATTAAATTATTCTATATACTATAAACTAATCGGAACAGATTGATGTCTATCAGAAAGATGCAAGAGAATTAAAATAATAAAATATATTACAAAAGTAAATACGTTAACACAGTCGATTCTTCTGTCAAAAACTGTTTTTATATTCAAACGTTTTAAAAGAAATTATCCCTTTCTATATATTGATGCAACAAACAAGATGAGAATACAAAATTAATAACATACTAAAATAATATAATAATAAAAAAATATCAAAATAGAAAATACATTAAATTTTTTTTAGTAAAATATATTATTTTATATTTCTCTTCTCTCTCTCTCTCTCTCTCTCTCTCTCTACCCCCCTTTAATTATTTTTTCAGTATTCTTCCACATTCATAAATTGAGAGTTATTAATTATGTCTGGTAACGTAATTTATTTTATTAGTGATTTTGAATATGATAGAAAATAATACGTATAGAACACCATAATGAGGACATGTGTTCTCTTCTTTTGTATCTCCTGCATTGTTCTCGTCACACAAAATAAATCACGTGGAATAAACTTATAGAATCAGATATTCGACGAACAAACGTCGACCTTATTTAAACACATATTTTTTAGCAGATATTCGCTGACTTGGTCATGTATCTCGCTACGCTACACCAGTTTTGTATGTATCAGTTCAAATAATTTTCAATGTGAATCCCCAATCTCAACTATTATCTACTGTAATAATACGTTAACCTTGGAACATATAAATCTTGGAAAAGAAAAAAATTGAACACGATATTGTTTTCGTTGAGCCAGCTTAATAATTAAGCCAATTTTTGTTTTTATATGTTTTTTTTATGTTTCTCGTTTACATGCAAATTGATATGATCTTTCCTTTTACAAAGATACGGCGTATTTGTGCAGCACAGTACAGAACACAAGCGTTTCATCAATTTGCCTTCAATCTCGTTTAATCATTCGTAAAAATAAAAATCAAGAGACACGGTAGTGTCTCGCGCCAAGTACACGCGGAGCGATTAAGTTTTACGCCATGTTGCATTTTTATTTTTAGATGCATTATTATTTTTAAGGCGAAAATTGTTATCCTCAAAATTGTTATGTCTAAACTGGCAGAATGCAAATCGAGGAATCAAAGGAAGCGCGTAATTTGTATAAATATGCGGAATTGCAAAGCCGCAGATAAATCATGGGAGCGATGTAAGGATCAATTACATGATTCATTGATTTGTTATCGATGCGGTGCGGTGATGACTAGATGATTGTTACTGTTTCGGCGAGTTTCACGCTGAAACCCGCGTCGCACGTAGTAGTAGGGAGATGATGATGGGACTGTCCGTATAAAGGCGCACACGTGACAATTAAAACGAACAGTCTCGATTCCGTTCTCCGTTTAATCCGTCGTTCCTGCGTGCCATTATATATCGCGAAAATCGCGGACTAGGTGGGGCGCGAAAGAAGAAATCGGATCGGAAATCCGGAAGAATTTTGCAAATACTTGGCGATTCTTCGTCTGCGAGTCTCTTCCCAGGCGAAACGAGCAAACTCGCGTGTAAGAGCGCGAGGTTTCGATCGAGGGAAGCTCATCAGCCGATCATATATGCGTTACATTAGGAAAACGAGCAAAATCATTCAGCTGCAATTTCGCACGTTCCTATTACCAGAAATTGGCACGCGCGACTAAGCGCGATCAGGCGCTCGAATTTTCCATCTTGCGCGTATAGATTTCGGGTGATCCGTTCCACGTCTTGAAAGAAGCGATATCGAGGGGTAAGATCTACAAAGCCTTTTTTTTTAACGTTTCTTAATTAAAACCGAAAAAATTTTGTTTCTGCGAGTATATAAACTTTCAAATTGACGATTGCTCGCTTTCTCCATTAACATTCTTGATGCAATCGTGTAACGGTGGAAAGTGCGGCGTTTACAGAAATTTATTTTATTTTTGTTTCTCGTAGCCTCTGCACAGATAATGTGCGAATTCAGCTTATATACTTTTATCGGTGATTTAAAAATTAAAGTATCTTCCAAATGGACTCCCCTGCTTTAAAAAAAAATATTTTTCACCAAATACTTTCGCCTTATGTACACCCTACTTGTTATATATTCCTTGTACAATTGTTCTTGACGCACTTTTACTGCATGATAAAATACTAACAAGTAGCTTTCAGTACTTTGTCATTTCACGCATGAAAATACTGTCGGATTAAATTTTAGATACGTGATTATAATATTTCTCGAGTTTCTACGAGAAATAAACACCATGGTTTTGTAAAGATAAAGGAAAGAAAATAATTTGTTAATAATAATCATTGTATAATAATTTATTCGTACGGTCAATCATTTCTAGACAGTTCTGTGCGTTCTCATGAAATCAGATATAAGTACGTAAAATGGACACTACGGTCAGATATTATTAGTTGTTAGATATTATAAAATAATTTTGTAAGTGGATTAAAATGTATTTCCTCTAGCTGCTATTTTATATGTTAAATTTAGATGTATCGATACAATGTATATCGATAAAATAGTTATTTAGTGGCGTAACAACGGATATTATTTTTAAATTATCTCATTACTGCAATAGCTGAGCAAATATTTTGATACTGATAACTTAGTTATTATTTAACGAACAGTCTATAAAAGAAGATAAGAAAGATTCGAAGATAAGGAAAAGCCTAATATTATTGAATTTTAAAAGGTTCGTGAAACCATATTTACGATTTTCATTATTAATTAATTTCTATAAACTATTTTCTGACATTTTCTTATATAAATTTTTTAAATATTAAAACTCCAATTATTTTAATCTTAGAACGTGTTTTAATTTTAATCGAAAATAGAGTATATTGTGAGATATATTATATTTTTCAAATTAATTTTTGAAAAATATAATATATTTTTTGTTTTCAACTTTTAGTTATATTTATTACCTAGATTATATTTCGATATTGAAATAACCGGTTCCAACCAGTGAGTTATGAGTCCAACCGGTTCAAACACATATTTGAATAATGATCGAGGAATAGTTAATAACAATGCTGATGATAGTTATTAGCAATTATTTCTACAGCTATGTGCAAATTATTAAACTAGAATTACGTCAATTGCTATACCTCACTTTGATTTTATTACGCAATAATCAATAGGTCAACAAATGATGTGTTTCTCTTGATAAGGATCTATGCTTCGCAAGAAATGTAGATTGGCTTGATTATTTAGTCTTTCATGTTGATTCACGCAATGGATATTTAGTGAGATTGATTTATGCTTGCTTTTGTTAGATATGTATTTATGCTTATGTTTTAAAAATGTGACATAAAGTGGATAAACAGTGTCATTTCTTGCAAAATTTGCAAAATATGAATAATATAAATTGTATCCAACATCTTAGCATTCCATAAATTTTCCACACCTACGACTAACACCATATTGACGCGTTGATTTGAGTTAATTGATATTTCGATCAAAGTGGTATCGATGACGTTTGAATCAAGACGATATATCTTTGACATGATCGATAAGATTTAAGGTGAATGGTGTCAAACGAAAGAACCAATTGAGACTGTCTCGTATATCAATTTATCTGAGCGTTGTTAAAGCATCATTAAAATTATTGTTGAACAATTTTCTGAAACTTGCTGTGTCACTTGACGAATATTTTTATATTAATTTTTGCCGCCAAATGGTTTTTTAAAAAGTTAATTAATATTTTGACATGCTTAAAATTGGACTTGACACGTGCGTAAAAATCACTTTGTTGGTACGCAGTCATGTTGTAAGACCATCGGCTTATACAGCCAGCAATTATGAAGTGAATCATAATTGACTGATAATTCACGCAGCATGTAGATGATTGATAAATTAATAATGATGTAATTAAAATTGTCAGTTGTGATAAGTGCACTTTCCGAATAACTGATAACTTACAGATTTCTGAATAAACATTATGTCTTATATTACTTAATTTTTTAATTCGCATTTTTCTATGGAGAGTTACATTCCAAACTTACTAAAAATTATGTTTTTGAAGTATTTTTTGGTCTATTTGGCTATGTATAAATAATCATTGAATATGTTAAAAATATAATTATCTTATATTAAATAAGAGAAAAAAAGAGGCAAAATAGGAAGAAAAAGTTTCAAAAACGTAATCTTTAACGACTAGAATTGGTCTTGGCAAAGATTTGATAAAACGTCATTTTTTAATTATTTTTCCATATCTTTAACATGAAATTTCCTTCGTATAAGTAAACCTCAAATTAAATTTAAGTAAAACTCACTGGAAATTAAATAAAAATCTCTGTATAGAAATACACAGTGTGTAAAATAAAAAACGATCGTCAGGTACTTTTAGAAAATGCGGCCGCATCTTCTCGTTCTGTTCTTCTTCCTGTCGGCGTCATCGGCGGAGCAGCGGCGCGTAAGAAGCGTCGAGGAGGAATGCCACGCGGAACATCCCACCTTGCTCTATTATTTCTCATGGGCGGATTATACGGTGTTCGCCTTAATGCTGCTGGTGTCGTGCCTGATTGGCACCTTCTATGGCTTCTTCGCCAAGAAGCAAGAGACCAGTCAGGATTTTCTGCTGGGCGGCTCCAGCATGAGCACGTTCCCCATGGCGATGTCATTGACCGCCAGCTTCATCACGGCCATCGAACTCCTGGGGAATCCTGCGGAGATGTACCAACAGGTACAGAAATTTAAAATAATATGAATTTTCAAACTCTATTATAATCGGGGAGAAACGATCGAAAAAGAACCTGAGAATTTGCGAAAGAAAGTTTCTCAAGTTTAGTTATTAATAGAATCTTCTTTAAAGATCATTTCTGAAAATGTTGCTGTTTCCGTTGCAGGGAACTCAATTCTGGATGACTTGCATCTCTTTCATACTCGTGGTGCCGATCACCTCCTGCCTGTACCTGCCGGTGTTCATGAAATTGAAGCTGACATCGAGCTACGAATACCTGAATTTGCGCTTCGACCGGCATTGCCGATTGCTCGCGAGCGTGTTGTATATGTTGCAAATGGTGCTGTACACGTCGGTAGCTGTGTACGCACCTGCATTAGCGTTAAGTCACGGTAAGTGATAACGAATGATCCTTTAACCTGGGACTTGTCCTCCAAAATGACATAATTGAAATTAAGTTGTAAGCACTTTTATAATAAATATCGCTTTTTGCCTTTGCTTCAAATCACAGTTGAAGAGCTATATTTTTAATTTTATTGTCATTAAGTTCATAGCTAAAGCAACAAGGATTTATTTACAAGATAATTTGCAATCCGGTCGCAATAATAAAATAATGCAGATAATTGTGAGCATTACAAAGTTTGGCGCAAGCTCTATTCGATGTAATATAAAGTATATTAAAAATCTTGAAGTTTAACCGCTCCGTTCGAGGCGCTAGTTTGCGAAAAATAACTTTGAAAAGAAAAATGAAAACTTTTACACTCTCAAAACTCGCTCAGAATGATTCCCGTTATTGACCTTCTTATAATCGCATTTCACTGAATTGGTCTGGATAGTTTCTGCCACAACTTAGAAGTATCTGTAATATTTTGACAATTGACCCGTCCGTATCTCACAATTCACAAAATTCAGCAACTTTAAAATTATAAACAATTTTCTTTAATTTGCAGTAACGGGCCTGAATACTTACATAGCCGTCACTCTAGTCTACGTTGTCTGCATTTTCTACGCCTCACAGGTTCGTATTTCTGTAAATTGTAGACATAAATAATCGAACAATATTGCATGTATTTCGTTACGCGCTAATTATCGTAAAAGATATAATTTTCTTTAACACACACGTAATAATATTTGTATCTCTTGCGCAATCTTAATTCATTTGCTGTTATATTCTCAGGGTGGTATGAAAGCCGTGATAATGGCCGATACTTTCCAAGCCGCCGTACTTATTGGTTCGTTGTTCCTCATCTTGGGCTACGGACTGTCCTGGGCTGGTGGAACTGCCCGTGTTTGGCAGGAGAACGCGAATTCCGGCAGGATGGAATTCTTCAATATGGATCCTAGTCCTACGGTACGGCACAGCTTCTGGAGTGTTGCGATCGGTGGTACTTTCTACTGGACCACCATGTTCTGCAGCAACCAAGCGTCCGTCCAAAAGTATCTCAGTGTCGAGAGCATCTCGCAAGTAAGAATGTAAGTTTCTCAGGCCGCAAAGAAGTTTTAGTTAACAAGCTGTAGCAAGCAGTAAGTTTTTAAGCGGCAATTCTCTACGAGCAATATATTTATTGTATTCATCGTTATACTTTATTGGCGCGTGATCGAGATACAGTTCAATAAAAAATTTGAGTTTTTATTATCAAAAAAATTATATGAGTTATTATTATTAAAAATGTATCATTGCTCATTAATTAATTGTTTTTTTTACAGAGCGTTGTGGGTGTCTGCGTTCGGAATGATTGTAATTTATAGTGTGAACTTTCTGACTGGAATGGTGCTGTACAGCGCTTACAAAGACTGCGATCCTTTGACAGCCGGATATATAAGCGGCCAGGATCAAATACTTCCGCTGTATGTGATGAATTTCTTGGGAAGTCTTCGTGGAATGCCCGGATTCTTCGTGGCTGGTATCTTCGCCGCGTCTCTCGGGTTCGTAGAGAACGTCTGAAGAAAAAATTATGTAACATATCTAATAAAAAAGAAATTTATAACTTATTTAACATCTTGAACTGGTATTTTACAGAACTGTGGCGAGTGCTCTGAACTCGTTGGCAGCGATAACCTGCGAGGACATTTTTCGTGGACTTCTCCAGATAGACTTGCCGGCGAGCAAAGGCGCCATTTACGCCAGATGGATCAGCATATTTTTCGGAGCCCTCAGTTTCGCGCTGGTCTTCGTCGTCGAGCGTCTCGGTAGCGTTCTGCAGGTAGCTTACATATTTCACTTGCGTCCTTTGCGAATTCGCGGAATATGAGACTTGAAAAAAAATAATAAACATTTTTTACGTATACCTTCCTACGCTATTATTATCTTGCGACGCAATGTCATTGTATAGTCCAGCTTTTTGTAAAACAGTTTAGCTGTCTCATTTTTTCTTTCCTATCGCGCTGTAAGTTAACATTCTGGTCTATCGAAAGGCATTATCAAGGAAATCATTGTTTCTAGGTTGCGCTGTCTTTTAATGGCATGGTTGGCGGTGTGACTTTAGGCCTATTCTCCTTGGGCATGTTTGTGCCGTGGGCTAATGCCAAAGGAGCAATAGTAGGTGCTATCACGAGTTTGGTAGTCGTGCTGTGGATCGGATTAGGCGCCCAAGTTGCGACTGTAAACGGACAGATTCATTTGGATAGCAAACCCACGTCGATTGCAGGTTGCCCCTGCATAAATGAGACCACAATCGTGATCGATCAAATCGAGCACAACTCCGATGAAGTCTGGTCTATATACAAGGTGAGATTTGTCTTCGCAAAAGCATGGTTCGCAATTACGTAACGTAACTGTGCCTCCTATAGCGTTTTAATTCGTTACAAAGTTGCGGTATTTCGTGCAATTAAACGCCTATTAGTAAACTATAAAACGTTTAAGTTTTTAATTTATTTTCTTTTATAATTAATTAATTTAATTTATATAGATTTGTTAGACCCCGCGCAATTATATAGTCATAAACTCGTTTATTTTAAGTTTTGATTTTTCTCGCCATGTATTTGCTTTTATTTTTCGTACAATGATTTGTTTTGCGATTGTAGTTTCTGTGAAAAGAGGAATTTATTCAAGATCTCGTATAAAACAAGTACATTGACAAATGAAGATAAGTCTTACGCGATATATGATTTGCAGACCAGTTACCTGTGGTACAGCGCGATCGGTTGCATGTTGACCATGCTGGTGGGCCTGGCGGTGAGCTTCGCGACGGGCGCGCAAAATCCCGCCGACGTCGATCAGGATTTCCTGAGTCCGCCGATCGCGGCCATGTTCCGCATGCAGACGAAGCCTCGCGCCTCCACAAATGTCCAGGGCATCGCGAACTTCGGCCTCGAGCTGGAGGATGAAAAGCCGCGGCAAGCGGACGTTTGCAAGAGCCCGAAGTGATCCTCTCGCAAGAGGGATCATCGATGAAGATCAAACACGCCTGGGGAACGTAGACGCCGAGAGCGAGAGAGCAATCTAATTCACTAAACATTTCGTCGGATGATTTATCAGATGACCGAAGAGTTGCACGGCGGGATATTCATCCCCTCCGAGGGTTCGCTTTGAGAAAGAGCGTAAAATCCATTTCCCAGACGGCGCAGAAATTTGACAAACACCTGTTAGATTTAGAAAAAGTTCTGATCATTTAAACGTCGTTCTGGACTTAAATGGAATAAATTGTTCCATCGTAATTCTACGGTACTTTCTTGCCAGTATTAGTTTCGAGGGACAACGAGATTAACTAATTGTTCGAGACACACTCTGCGTTCCTACTCGTGGGCATGTTGAGAATGAAACCCAGAGTTCTGCGATCCGTACATCGTATACCACGAGGATTAATTTAATTAATCGCAATGAATAATCAATACAAAGGTATAGTTTGAAAGAATTACAGAGAGTCTTATTTCCTCTAACATTCGTACGTTTTTTCTTCCTGCGCAAAGTTATCCGAGAGTATGTGACTGACAAAATATAGTAGACGTTGCAGCAGCGCTACGGAATTTATTCCCAAAGATATATTACCATGACGGAACAGGACAGATGAGGGAGAATTATGAGTTTTTTTGTTATCGAGTTTGCATGAAAACGATGCCGTATAATTTATAAAAGAAACATCGCGCACGTCTGCATTGTTTAAGCGCATTTCTTTATAACATTCTGAATAATGCGATTTGACTTGCCTAGCTAGACTTTCCCATGTTAACGCGATAGCAAAAAATTTAGATTATATCGTCTGCGTATAATTTATATACAATTTATATACATGCATTATAACCGCGTCATTAAATAACCTTAATTTATTATTAAATATTACCAGTAAATCAGAAGAAGATTACTTAAGTCTTTCTTTTTTTTTTTTATTTGACGCACGACCGATTTTACTTCCAGAATTATACTTTCAGAATTCTTATATCTTATGGAGACAGGTATCTCACAGCACGCACTAAAGATGTTTGACTGTATCATTGTACTTTTATCTCTTTGCTTTCGCATAATTTATTAACGGGACAGTGCGTTCTGCGAATATTGTAGTATAGCAGATTGAAATAGATATTAAAATATTATTATTATACTTATTTCTGTAAATATATTTTTGTGGAACAAATAAATATTTAATGATATTGAACAATAATTATAAGTTTAAAGAAGGACCGATTTTAATGATTATATTAATAAAAAAATCGATTAATCGCCAATTGCATAAAGCTAAATACTTTCTTATGAGTAAAAACAATTTTAACAATAAAAATCTTTCTTTAAACAAATATATAGAGCTCACACGATTAATAAATAAAAAAAAGGAGCTCAGAGCTGTAACAGCTAGGATGTCCTTTTCTTAAAGTCTCTTTCAGCTAGTAATTAATTTCAAAACGTTAAGTTATTGAAACTAGTCAGTAATTTTTTCGTATTAATCTGAGCAATCTTTGAAAATAAAAACAACTGCAGTTTTTTGCCCAAAGCTCTTCATAACTATATGGCCCAATCAGTCAAACTCTTATTCTACCTGATGCAATTGCGGTAGCGAAATAAAAAGTCTCCCTCAGGTAATTTTAAAAGAAAAGATATATAAAATGCGGTATCCACTACCGACTGAGCGCACAAGCATCGGTATTCCCGTTAAATATCTAAGTACGCTCACCGCGTACGTTAACACCGTTTGTGTTATTGTCAGGAGGGAGGAGAGAAGGAGAACGAGACAGTGAAAGTGGATCAATACGAGTACACGGTGAGCGTGCGGCCTGCATGGCAGCGTGCGGCTGTTTCTCCTGCGAGGCCGCCCGTTCGCGCTCGCAAGGCACGATCACCGCCACGCGGTTGACGGATCAGATCCCGTCGTCTTTGACAGTCGTGCACGTCGTCGACTTTATCTCGCGAATTCCATCCGCGGGATCGGCAGAGGGTGATGCGCGGGGCTGCAATCGGGTCGACGGTGTTCCATCGAGGGTGTTCGACTTGGCGCGTTAGGCGGTTTCGTCTTGGCGGCTTTCGGGATTTGATTTCTCGGGACGATTAAGGAGATTGATAGTCTCTCTCGCCGGGAGAGACTGTCACCTCGTCCTCCGATCTTCGATTACTCCCTCCGCTGTCCGTTTATCACTGACAATCGTATATAGGGTGTTGCATAGGGTCGCGTGTGTTCGATTATGCAGGCGCGGTAGTGACGGACGGGCGACAGATCGATCTTTCGCTGCATGGGAGTCGGGAAGATTGGAAACTTGGCCGGTTTGTGGTTGACGGGGAAAACGAAGAGGGAATTAGAAAGCGGCTCTCGCGGGTCACCGTGTACATGTTACGTCGCCGAGATGTACCTGTCTCATCTTGTGAGTAAGAACAAAAGTCACCGGCATTTTATCGCGATATCTATTACATAAAATCCGCTCTTGCTCCTTGATTCATAAGTTACACGTTGATTACGTTATTTATTTTGCGTAACACGTTTTACTCGTACCGCTGTATCTATATAT